TTTTGAAGCCCCTTTGTATATCTGATCTGAGCATAGAATATAAATCTTCCACAATCTATACTCCTCTCTTTCCATCTTACTTGCTGCCTCAGCCGCTCACTCTACAGGCAACCATACTCAAGTATTTGCTGCTCCTGCAACTTCCCATGCTAAGTCCCAGTTTGGAACGTTGTTCTCTCTTCGCATGCCCTGCTCCCATCTGTCTAACATGTGCTCACATTTTGGGGCTCAACTCAATCTTCTCTTCCTTTGCAAGCTTCATCCATTACCCACCCCAACTCCCACCCTACGTAGCAAGCACAACCTCCTCTGTCAAGCTTCAGGTCTACATACACGTTGTCAATATGAGTTTGCTTCTTCTGAATTATAAGCTCCTTGAAGACAAGACCTTTATCACGTATACCTGTGTACCTCAGTTTCCAGCTCACAGGAATAAATTAAATATTGCTGGAAGGAAAAACAATGGAGCCCAATCTTTGGATCCATGTGAAATGAGATGATCGCAGAAATACATGGAATCATCATGTGGCCTGTCCCAGCTAGCTGCGTTCATTGTGAATCCAGCACTCAGGCTGCACTAGTAAGCAAGTCAGGTGGACGTTCTCCTTCATGTGAGCTGACTTTCAGAGATGGAAAAGGAGGTAGTGACTCATACTGGCTTGCTTCCTTGGAAATTAGTAAAAACAAAACCCAACAAAACAACACTCCCCCTTCCTGAATATTGGCACTGGCTCAGGCTTTCCTTTTCCGCAGTTGCCTCTGTCAGGCAGCACTCCCCATGTGTCGCTGCTGGGCACCTGTGTGCTCTGAATCCCTCAGTGAAGGTCAGTCTGGAATACTAAACGGATGGATGCACAGTCCTGGGTTTTGAAAACTGGATCCTAGCAGTTGAGATGCATAACAATGCACTCTCTTTTCAGGTTCCTTCTGTTCTAAGCTTCCCATAAAGAGGCCCATTTTAGGAACCAGTTCCTCGAGCTGTCCCAATTTCTACACCTGAACTGAAAATAATTAATTTGAAGCAAAAAAAAAAAAAAATCCCGGGAATGTTTCAGTTTTATATGCACTTCCACAAGCTTGTTTCCACACCAAAACAACACTTGCAATGCAGTCAACATCACAGGGGCCACATGCACAAAAGGACAAAAACTCTGTACTAAATAATAAAGCAAAAACAAAAAAATTCTCCTACACTACATTCCTTACTAATTTCAGGTGAAAAAATTTTTAGTTAGCAAGAAAAAATTGACCCATGCATTAAGTAGATGATATACTTAATTCAGGGTGAGTGGAGATAGCTAGTCAGTTGTCATGGTAGAAAGTAAGTTTTGGACATTCTGCTTCCCGTTACTATCTAAACTTGTGAAATACTCAGAGTCAGAAAGCAGGGCTAATTTTAGACCCTTATTTAATGCATTCAAGAGCATGATTCATTTTCCCTTGCCCTGAAACAGCCTTAGGAATCTTAATATATGGCAAGCACTGTACGACGGCCTGTAAGTTAGTGGAAGTCTCACTGAAAGCCGAGAGGAAGCCAGAGGCACTACATGTTCTGCACCAGCGACGGTGCATCTCCAGGCACCTGCACGCCAACACACAGAGCCAGGTCTCTGAGCTGCAAGAGTCCGGCTCATGGCAGCTTTGTGCTGGCCCTGGCATGAATGCTGACAGAATTTGCTCTGCTCCTCTCCTCCTCACAGTGGCCCTTCCCACTCCAGCTCTAGTGGGACCCCAGCAGCTCTCAGAGGCCACATCACGTGGCTCACCCTACTGAGAGCGTTCAGAAGGATGTCACCACACGGTTGCCATGTTTTAACAAACCTGAACCTAAGTTGCTCCTAGAATTGGGCTGTAAAAGATAATATAACACAGATACCTTAAGACAGTTTGAGCCCCTTTAAAGACAAAAGCAAAGCAAAGAAAAACAAAACCAACCGAAAAGAGTACGTTCAATTCCCAATGAATTAAATCAGGATATACACCAAGTATCCAGAGTACAGCAGAGCACCATTCTCCCCGCCAGCCCCTCATTCTCTGCTTCCAGATCCATTCTTTCACTGTTCTTAGCACCCAGCATCACAACCAGTATTCCAGCCCACATGGATAATTTGGATTAAAGCGGGGCTACAGTCTGTGCTAGTCCAGCACAGCCGAGAAGTGAAAAACACCAAGTGACTTTACAATAGCTCCAGTTTTTTCTTCTGTTTTTACTTTGTAAGCACATTTGGAAAGTAACCTTACAAATTTCTCTCTAGCATCTCTGGCCTCTTTGACAGTCTCTTGGTTTAGGGCAAACAGCAGGAATAAAGATGGTGGGTATATAAAAGAAGTCGGGAGTGAGATGATACTGCCGCCCAGACAGGAGGCTGCTGAAGCTATCCTCCCCCCTGAGGTGTAAATCTCACAGCAGCCCCTGGGCCCGGAGGGTCCTGATGTGTAGACATCCACCCCAGTTCCGTGAGTCAGGGCTCTCCGGACATGAAATGGGTTCAGCAGTTTTAAAGTCAAAACCAAGGAGCTGGAAATGGAACACGTGCATGATGCCAGAAATGAGTTGCTCTGAGAAGACACATTCACATGAGCAACATGTGGAGAGGCCCGCCGGGGCACACCCACAGGGTGGGCCTGGCAGACCCCACACAGGGCCAGGCATTCAGCTGGCTTAGGGTTCCGCTCAGCCTTAACACATGCTTTGCACACTAACCTGGACACGGCACAGAAAAGAGCCAAGACACCACAGGGCAGCAATGGGGTTGTACCTTTCTCAAAGAGCTTGGGAACTGGGTCTCCCGGCAGCTCTGACCGACCAGGGAGGGCAGCCATCCACTCCTCACCGGGCCCACCAAGTGCCACCACACGGACAGCAAGTCCTTTAGAGGACACGGACACTTGATGACCATGGTCACGGATAAGGGCAGACTTGGGGTTCATTTCTATACCCACTTGAGAAAGGACAGATGCTCCAGCAAGCTGGCTGATTTAGCTTAGAACAATGGCTACCGATGCAGCCAATTTCAGAACATCTAAAAGGAAGGGAGGTGGTTGGGGCGGGGTATCAGGAAGGGTCCCTCTCTTTCAGATTGGTTTCTTTAATATATTAGGATAGGGCAGAAATTTGTTTTTACACACATAGAGCATCAAGGACTAATTGGTAGGGAATCCGTTTTCACAGGTCACTCACACAGAATAGCACTCTTCCATCTCGGCGGGGGGGAGGGGGAAGGGGTTTCAAGTTCTAAACTACAATCAGCCCTTCACGTAAGCCCCAGTAGTCCCCGTATTCAGCCAGATGGCAGTGTTTGTTGCACCAGGCCGAGTTCACAGTACAACATCAATAAATGGCCACTTGTAGAGGGACAGAGAGAAACTCAAGTACAAAACGTATTTCCACCTCCCCCTCCTTTCCTTTCCTAAAATGTTGCATTGTTACAATACCTATTGGGGCTTAATCTTATTTTGGAGATAAAAGGGGAGGGGAAAGGCAAGATAATATAATAATAGAAAATGCAGTTTCTTTGGGGGCAAGAGCGTACTTCTCTGAGGAGAAAGACGACAGGTGGGTTCTGTAAGCGCTGTCTCGCCTTTGGGGACTGACTGGACTTTTCCCAGTCCCAGGAAAACTCACCTTGGCAAAGGCTGCACATTGTCAATCAAAGACACTGTAACTCGGAGTTAAGATTTTTTTCTCTGTGAGTTGGCTAAGAGTCATGTAAGAAATATTTGTTCTAATTAGGTGATCCAAAAAGTCTTGCGTCATATAACGCATTTTAAGAAGGAAAGGGTATTCGTTAAAAATCCTTTATGGACAGGAAACGGCACATGTGTGTGTGGTTGCCAGTGTCCACACATCCCTCCCAGGCCCTGGGGGACGCACACTTGGGGACTCTGTTCCTTGTGCTGCTCGTCTCAGCGGCACCTGCGGTAGGCTGGGGGGATGGAGCGTGGGGACCAGCCTCTGCCTCTGCTCTTAATAAGCTGAGCCACCTAATTATGCAACCTTAATCCATGACTACAGGCCAGGGCTCAGCTGGTGGCCTGACAGCAAGAAGTGTCAGAAAAGAATGTGAACTCAACAATGTTGGAGGAGTGTTATTTCCAGAGAGAAAGCCCTCAGGACAAGGGAGAAGGAGTTGCTGCAGGCACTGCACTCCTCCACAGGGGAAGATGTTTCCCAAGCCATTCCCGAAGCCTGATGTGGCCTGATGTCTCGCCCAATAACATCCTGGAACGGACTTCTGGGCTACAGCTATCTTCAGACTCCATGCCAGAGGAATATTTATTACAAAAGAAAGCAGCATCTATTAGGGCCTGAACCAGTGGGGGCCCACTGGCACTCACTTCTCACACTGAACCACTTCATGTCCCCACCCCGGCTTCAAACAAGTAACTCAGTCTACGACCTAAGGCACTTTCCATACTTGCAGCCAATTAACACTGGCTTCCTGTGCGTCTCCCTGACACATACTTTGAGACAGTGGGAAAGAGTCAGCGAGTAGTCTCCAGGAAAACACCATACAGATGTTTGTCGTTATTCTTGAAGTCTGGTGGGGAAACCGAGAATTGTTTATTTGGTTTGAAGCCAGATTCTAGGAATGCATTTTCTGAAGGTTAAGGGCTAGGGGCTGGTTCTAGGATGGGGGGTCGGGGCGGGGGGGGGGGAAGGAATGACATAATTCATTCCTCATAGTAAAAACCTGAGGACTTCGGATCACAAAGCAATTTAGGATATTTTCATGGTCCATTTGTGAATTAAATTTGGTATACTAGACATTGATTTGTTTCAGAGAAAGGACATACCTGAAGCAAAAATCATAGACTATTTGGCTAAAATATTTTGTTTTGTTTTCTGTACTTTTTTTTGCCCGCCAAGATTGCAAATTAGGAATTGGTCCTCTATCTTGAGCCATTTATTGAGAATGAACAAATGAGCTTGGAAAAGACATGACCCAATTGAAGTTCAATACCTGACTTTGGTGTATGAGAATCATAAACTTGCTTACGGTCTATCTGGTCCGCAAACACTTCCCCATAAATCATCCAGTAGGGCATGTAGAAGATGTTCTTGGCCAGTTTCCACGACGGCTCCTCGTTGGGGAACAGGATGGCTTGCCTGGCAACCCCAAAGCTCATCAGGACCACCAGCATGATGATTACAAAGTACATCATGTCTATCATCTGGAAAAGCAAAGCGGGGGGGAAGAACAACGTGAGAGCCGTGAGTGAGCGTGTGTGGGTGAGCGTGTGTGGAGATGCTGGCACTGGTGGACACCTCTGAAGAAAGTTCACAGAAGGGAGCTGTGCCCAGATAAGAGGACATTGGTCTATTGAAGCTGATGTCTGTGAAACTTTATCAGGAACTCAAAACTCGCTTTTAAAAAACGAATGCAGAGTGAGTCTACTTCATTTTTCATGGCTATCTCCAAGATCTTGTCAAATCTAGACGAGGGAGTCTCGTCACACAAAAATTGGGCTCTCGAAGTGAATCCAGGCTGAGGGGCACATGTTCTCTTTCATCCTCTGTCTTCTTAGCCAAGTTGGAATGGGACAGTTGAGCTATTTCAAGAATGAGTGCAATGCTGTGATTTTCCTAAGTTCTAAAAGGTTTACAAGTTGCAAAGGTCAAAGAAATAATCGCTTGTAAACATGGCGAGGACAAACCAAATACGCATCCTACTCTGTTATTCTCGTGACTTGATCCCCGTTGCTGGGTATTCTACCACAAACCAGTCTCAGAGAGCCACTCTTGCTGTGCCTACTTCTCTGCAACAGAGCAATTCATTATGGAGACCATTTTTCTAAGACATCAGGACATTGTAGCCTAATGACTCATGCCTGTGCCTGTTACTGAACTGACAGATTTCATCTGGATATGTTTATAAAATCTTTCCAACTCCATTCTAATACTCTGCTCTGTTTTGTTTCTCTTTGTTCCCTTCTTGTTTATTTACATTGTGTGTGTGTGTGATTTGGAAATTATTTCCCACATATCAACTAAACAGATGAGGATGCAAAACTATTGATCTTGCCTGGACAGGACTCTCCACCCCCTTCTCTCAGAAATAGTTCCTACCTTTGTGGCCAGGCTAGGTTAATCATGGAAACTCATTCATTGGTATTAGCGACAGGAAGTAGGTTGGTGATGTGTGTGACACGACAACCAGAATCCTTTTTTGGTCTTTGTTTAGTGGAAGCTGGAAGAGAAAGCAGTTCCCTTTCTCTCACTCTGTGTAGTGCCATGAATTCAGAATGTCTGAGGTTGAGTGCCCCATGGTAAAAGCGATGAGAGTGAATGGCACAAAGTAGAGAGAGACAACCGTGGAGTGTCTGTTGGCTCCTGATCTGTTTCTTACGTCCGTCCGCAGGTCAGTACATCCCTTGTCTGCACAAGTGAGTTGGACAGTGGTGCCCTTTCTCTGCCATCAAGACCACCCCTTTCTCGGATATCATACTCACGAAAGAAAGGTCCAAACTCAAAGAAAGGTTAATGCCAACTTTATCAATGATAATGAAACCTTCAAATTAGGCTGAAAATGTTCTTGTTGGAATTCAAAATTGCAGTCTTTCTGGATGTCTTCGGACAATGGGGTTTCAGTATATTTTATGTCAGTTGAGCAATTTTCAAACCAACTCTAAAATCCATCTCACAAGTATTACATGGGCTTTGAAATCAGAAGGAATCTCTCAGAATTTGGCATTCACTCCTGTATTTTCATTATTCATGAAGAAACATACTAGTTATTCCCTCAGCAGGACAGTGGTCTCGGAGTTCTGTGAAGCGAGCAAGCAGACTGTGTTGCAAAAGCTTTATTTATTTTTAGGAAACACGAATCTCTTTTTATACTTTCTCTCTCCTTCTCCATTTTGTAAAATTCTTTATCATCTATTTACTAAGAATCCTGAAAGCGAAAAAGCACATATGGACCCGTCATGTTATGTTTACTGGAATTGATGAAAAGGTAAGTGGGAAAAGGAAGGTGTGCACGGGAAGATGTGAGAGCTAGAATGACCCAGACATCGCAGCCAGCAAATGCAAACTGTTCTCATTGAATTTCTCAGAACTGTTTTCATACACATTGATTGTGGTGCCTGTTCTCAGGATCAGAGCAATCCTAGGGAAAAAAGTTCTTCCCAAACACTCAGCTTTCTCTCCTACCAAGAAGCCTAAGCTTCCGTACAAGCACTGAACGCTCACAGCATCGGCAGTGAGAGGAGGGGCTGGCTGCACCTGCTTTCGGAGCTAAGTGTTAGCTGGTTCAGTATGAAGCTCCTGCTCTGTCCTTGTAAGCATCTTTCAGTTTGTTCTATCGGGCAGAGTATATTCTACAGTGGTGAAGCGCTGAAGCATGTGCTGTTAGGGGGTCAGAGTTCCTGAGCTTTTATCTTGGTCTTGTTAATAAAAACAGCTATACAGGAAAGAAAAACCAACCAGAAAAGTAAAGTTCACTACAAAAATGAAACTGAAATAAAATGAAGGCTTTCTTGACCATAACAAAGCACAAACAAAAAGTCAACCAACCAGCCAAATAAACAAAAACCACAGCTACGAAGCCATGGGCAAGTGATTTGTTATTTTAAAAATATTTTAACTGAGAATAATTATAACAACAATAATGCCTGTTTTATAAGAATTACATGAGATAATATGTAAAAATATTCAGCATGGTACATTCTCAGTGAGGCTCAGTCCTGACATGGTCCCTTGGTTAGTCTTGGTTTACTTGTTCACATGCAGATGTTAAACTTAAGACACATACGATACAGTATCTGGCACATCTTAAACACGTCAGCTAGTACGACTGCTGCTTTACTCCTCTGCATTATACATATGAGCTCAGCACTAGGCTTGCAAAATCCCACCAGGAAGTGGGCTGTGATGGCAAGGGGGCAGAATCCCACCAGGAAGTGGGCTGTGATGGCAAGGGGGCAGAATCCCACCAGGAAGTGGGCTGTGATGGCAAGGGGGCAGAATCCCACCAGGAAGTAGGCTGCGATGGCAAGGGGGCAGAATCCCACCAGGAAGTGGGCTGCGATGGCAAGGGGGCAGGATCCCACCGGGAAGTGGGCTGCGATGGCAAGGGGGCAGAATCCCACCAGGAAGTGGGCTGTGATGGCAAGGGGGCAGGATCCCACCAGGAAGTGGGCTGTGATGGCAAGGGGGCAGAATCCCACTGGGAAGTGGGCTGCGATGGCAAGGGGGCAGGGCTTGGTTTAGGTGACCCCGGACCCGCAGGTGCCCTGGACCACAGAAACAGGTTCTGCATACTGGGAAGCACAAATGCACTGGTTGCTTAAGCATTGCAAGGACTCAGGACCACTTTTAAAAGAGCCTTCTGAGCACCGTGTGCCCAGAACTCTGTCCAGCTGCCTGCCCTTAGGCCACAGGGCCTGGTGACTTCCCTCACTCCTCAGTACTGAATGAGGACTCAAAAGGCCTAAGGGACTGTCGATAAACACATCTGTGCACACGCTCCCAATGTGGTAGCCTACTTGGCCAAGTGATAATTTCTACAGGCATATTTCATTTCACTTCTCGATCTGTGGCTCTTATTGAAAAAAATATCTGAAAATCCCCATGAAAGAGTGGGAAAATCCCCCTGTATAATCATTGTCTACTTATTTTTGATAGATGGATGAAGCCATTCATCAGTCAGAAGGCAGAGAAAATACAGCACATCTCTCTGCTGTCCTGAGTAAGAGTTCATCCCAGCCAAGGCTGGGATAATCTTGTCTTGTGAAAAGGATCGGTGCGGATCTTAAAATCACCTTGCTGAAGTAGAGTGGCTTCAGTAACACCAAGAATTTCAATGTCACCAACACTTTTAAAAGTAGTGGATTTTGTTTGTATGGGTCTTGTCAGATTTTATTTGTTGATGTAGACAAGGTAGCAATCCGAGAACGTCCCATCTGATTATGTAATCATCTAATGCAATGGTTGTTAACATAGGGTGGTTTTGCCCCCATGGAACATGTGGCAATGTTTGGAGGCCTTTTTGCTGTCATTACCGTGTGTGTGTGTGTGTGTGTGCACGCGCATGTGCGTGCTCTTGCAGAGGTCATAGGTGGTGTTTATCTTCCTACGGTGCACAAAGAATTTCTCAGCCCTTAATAACAGTAGTGTCAAAGTTGGGAAAATTTGGCCTAATCCTGCTGTTGTTATAAATCTTTGTTTACACTGGCTCCACTCGATGAGTTGACAAAAACATGCGTTCTCCAGCAAACTCATCACCTCCACACATTTCACGTATAAACTGAGCAAGAGGAGGGGGTCCCATAAATCTTTCTTACGCCCCATCCACAGACTCAAAATTGAGACTTTCTGCTTTTAGACATAGGAATTTTCACGACAATCTCAAGTTCATGGTTAAAATACAAAGAAGATAATGCAACAGGTTTGTAATTGAGTAAGATGCATGTTTTTCCACCAAATTGAACCGGAGCTCAGTTTGGGGCAAGTAACTCAGTCTTGTGAAGTCACATCTTCCCTGTCAAAAATAGGATTGATGAGACTCTGCTCTAAACCATGCTGGGGCTACAAACACCACCGGAAGGCCCAGGAACACAGCACAAGGTCTATGAGTAAGCCTTCTCTTTCCTGCTGTACTTTACAAAACATAACGTGAATTTAATGATAAGGGCTAGAATTTGTCAAGTTTCAAACTATGAGCCAGACACTGCTGGCCATTTAATAAGCTGATCCTAACCATCACAACAACTATTTTAAATACATATGAATTGTTTACAGCTGTTTTAGAAATGAGTAAACTGAGTCTCAGGAGGTTAAGGAAAGTTCTCATTCTTATCCCTCATTCTGTGCAAAATCTTTGTTGAATGTGTTTATCTGAGCTTTCACAGGATGTGTCCTAGGAAGCTTTTCTGCAGTAGAATCACACTCACCCAGCCATACAAATGTCCAATAAACTCTGGACTGACAATGACGTGCCTGGGAAAGCTCTGACCAATTGCTGGATGCTGGCTTCTACAGCCCATACAATGATACAATGGAAGCGAAGGGAAGGTTTTATTATTATCATTTTTAAACAAAGAAGCTTTCCATTAAAAGGTGTTTGCCATGGTAGAATGGAAGTACTTAGCTTTTCCACACAATGTCCTAAGAAGGTTGAATAGGGGACGCTCTTAGAACTCATGAAAACACTCAGTGTCTCGTCTGTTTCTTCTGGAGTGAGTCTGGAGAGGGAGCTGGCTCATTTGTGTTTCTGGATCCGCGCTGACACTGTCCTCAGAGGGCTTTGTCCTTTACGGAAACACTCTGGAAGCTAGCGTGTGGTAAAGGAGCACCGGAAGGAATCTCGGGCCATTTCTGGGGAAACATATTATCTTTCCCTGTGGATTCTTTTTTCGAACAATGAAGTAAGTAGGAGTGCCATTCTGGATCCTAGGAGACATCTTCTCGCAGCCATGTAACAAAACAATGATGTGTGGCAGAACATGACGTTCGACTCAAACTCCGCCTAACGCGCCTCGGCTCAGTTGAGCTGAAATTACCTACTTTTCTTCCTTTTGTGTGGGGAAAAGCATTTTTCTAGCATGTCATTTTCTTTTTAAAAGATCTTTTAAAAGTCTTTAAAATCTGTTAACATTGTGTCTGAAGACCCCTGTCTCGGTGAGACCCTCCTGAAACGTCCCCTCTGGGAAGCGCCCTCTCCCTACCCTGCTGCACACACAGCTCGCAGCATTCTCACACTGCCTGGCCGGCTCTTCCTCCCAGCTCCAGCATCACAGAGAGAGCATCTGCGTGCACTCTGCGTTCAACGTCTCGTCAGTGCTTGGCAAGACATGACTGATCTTTATCTTTGTCAGTAAGTGAATGCGTAACTGGTGATTAAAATTCCCAGTTTTTATAAACAGAAACACTCTAAGGGCATTTAAAACATCCCTGGACCACTTCCAGTGGATTCTAACAGTGGTCTCTTTTGTTAGGCCCCCCTCTTCCTGTAAGAACTTGTACAATGGAAACACTGGACCCCACTTACCATCTTTCCGATCATCATAACATAGGGGCCCAAATACTTGTTCACGCCGAAGATGTCTAGCAAGCGGATGTACCAATAGATGATGTTCACGCAGTAGATGACCCTGCCGTCACTCCTGAAGGGCTGGTCCTGGAGGCGGAGGATCATTCCAATGGAAAACAGAAGGATGGCGATGAGATCTGTGACATTCCAGTATTCCTGCAGCCACACCTTCACTTTCTGCAACAGCTTCCCTGGCTCTGACATCAGAATCTGCAAGGCAAGAGAGAGACTGTAGGGAGGTCTCATTCCTGCAGACACCTTCAGCCCAGCCGGGAAGCACTTGTCAGGCACCGGCAGCGGCTTGCTTTGCTGACTCCGTACTTGAACACCAGCAGGATGCGTGACTGACTTAAGCCTAGGTGGTTCAGGCGCAGCCCTGCAGAGGCAGGCATAAGCACCAAGTGTCATCCTGTGGATTGCCTTTCAATTCTGAAACAAACATCAAAGTTTCTGTTATGAAACTATGAATTTCCGTGTGGGAGAGCCAGAAGAAGCCCCTGGCTCCTGGCTTTGGACTGACTCAGCTCTGGCATTGTGGCCACTTGGGACTGAACCAGCGGAGGAAGAGCTCTCTCCTTCACTCTGTGAATCCTTCCAATAAAAATAAACACACATCTTTTTAAAGAAGCAGCTGAAGAGCGCTGCCCTCGCAGTGCACCTCTTGGGCCAGCTCTCAGCCACCTGTGAGCAGGGTGGGCGCACATGCTGGAGCCGGAAGGCTGTGAGGGCAGTTAAAACCAGCTCAGCTTTCAGAGACACAGCAGAGGGCTGGAGCGCTCTGAGCCCGCTCCCAGACGGTAAAGTGGGCCTGTTGTCACAGCTGTGCCACTGGTCTCAGTTGTGGATTGGGCAGGAGATGCAGCTGAACCTATCCACCCAGGGCCTGCAGTACAGGGAGTATGTGGGGAGGGGGCTTCCTGTGGTGGGCACAGGCAGAAATGAGAGCTGGGAGAGGGAGGGCAGCTGGGGAGGCCACCAAGCTGCCTTTTTGTGTATCTGGAGCCCTCCCACCTTTCCAGGCTCTTGGGGGTGAGTTCCAGAGGGTCCATGTACTGACTGCAGGAGTCCCCGCTCCCTTGCTGGATGAGCTGTTCAGGGCAGGGCCGGGGGCAGTGGGGCTGCCCTCCTGGGGCTAAGGCGTCCACCACAGCCCTGTCCCCAGTGTCAGGAGCCTCTTCCGCTGACCCTTTGCTAGCCTGGGCCTGGGAAGCCCCGGCCTGCCCGCTGCTAAGGGCTGCCTCCCAGCACGGGCTAGCCAGGCTTTGAGCATCCTGGCAGGCGGCCTCATTGGCAGGCCCGAGCAGAACAGTCTGTGGAGGGCAGCCTGCACCCTGCTTTCTTCCAACCCGGTCCCTGGAGAGACTCCATTCTTTCCCTTCTCTGCTCTTCGTGGAGGCGGAACATGTGCTGGGTGTTCTATCACAGGCCTCCAGCTGGCCCAGCACTGCCACAGGGCCACTGGCTCGCTCACAGGAGCGGGCCTCGGTTCCCAGAGGCAACAAAGACCGAACCAGATTTATTACTGGGCTTCAGTTTACGAGCAGGAAACCCACAGCACTGGTCAACAAGTGGCAGACAGGATGAATGGGGAGGACTGAAGGGAGACAGTGTGTGGGAAGAAGAGAAGGCATCCTATTGCTTGTTGAAATCCGGCCCTGCTGCAATGGGCCTAGAGCGCTCACTCCTCAGTCTCCAGGCCGAGGAGATGCTTAGCATCGGCCCCCAAGCCCCCAAACAAACAGTACCGTTAGTCAGAAGGGATCTCAAACTCCAACTCAACTGCACCTAGCGGACACTGCCCCTTTTCTTCCGGTGGAGAACATTCTAGAGCTACACCCCACGAAGGCAAGCACGGCGAAGTCCAGGGTAATCTGATGGGGTATGTGCAGGATCGCCCCACCATCCCACACCCCAGCCTCCACCCCTGCACCACCCTGGTGCCGTGGATCTTCCCACTCTGTCCGGAGAGCACTGCGATTGTTCCTGGGCTTGGCAGCGTGCAGCCGACGTGCCAGGGAGCATTTGTTCCCCCCAGAGAAAGCCTCCGCCTCTGCCTGCAGTTTGGGGGGGGCGATGCGGAGTTGCTGCTGCCCCCTGCTCCCGATGCCCTCCTGGCTTTCTGCAGGAAAGGCAAAGGGTTGCGCGGGCTTGCAGAGCCCTCTGGTGGACGTGGGCTGGATCGCAGCCAATGTAGTGGCTCTCAATGCTTCCTCCTCTCCCCCCAACCTCCGTTTTTAATCGAATTCGAGACAATGGTTTTAGAGCAGTTTTCGGTCCGGCAGCGTTTTGAGGACAGTGCCGACATCGCCCATGCACTCCCTGCTCTGATGTTTTCTGCATCGCTGGTCCCATGACGGGTGTTTCTGACCAGGTGGCGCAGGCATCGTCGCTGAACCCACACCAACATTTTGCCACCCAGGGCCCACGTTGCATCTGAGGGTTCACGCTCAGCGTTGTCTATTCCATAGGTTTGCACAAGTGTGTGGTGACCTGTGCCCGCTCGCATCATCTTACACAACATTTTCACTGCCTGAAAGCCCTCTGCGTGCTGTCCTTCATCATCCCCAATCCTAACCCCTGTAACCACCGATCTTCTCGCCGTCTCCATAGCCGGATTTTTCTGGCATGTACTATGGAGTCTTAGAGCACACGGCCATTTCACACTGGCTTCCGAGACAAACAACGGCAACGAGGCTTTCCATGTCTTCCCATGGTAGCTCGTCTACTTACAGTAGTATTCTGTGGTCTCGTGTCCTATGGGACTGGACCTTGGGTGGCTCTGAGTGGGTCTCGGAATGGGCAGGAGGGAAGTGGGAAGGACTGGATGTGGGTTCGCTCATGTGTGACACCGGGGGCTACTTGATAAATGTCGGAGGAAAATAAAACGGGATGAACGGGAACTACAGGTGTTGGCTGGCTGTTGAGAGACCCAGAGTTGGAACAGGCATTGTTGGTGGGGCAGACGAAAGCCACATGCACACCGTGTTGAAGGCGCTGGGTGGCCTCCTAGGGCAGGAGGTGACATGACCAGGACACAGACGGTCCTCAGCACTCGCCCGTTGGCGGCTCCGTCAAAGGCCTCCCTGCGTCTGCCAGAGAGGGGTCAGCAGCCCCTCGAGCAGCGCCGGAGAGAAGGACTTCTGGCTTACTCGGGATGCCCAGCGTCCCACGCCCCATCCTGCCCTTCATCCCCAGATGTGACCGAGCAGCGTTTCCCCCAAGTTTCCTTTCACAAAAGCTCTTACCTCTCTCATCTTCTCTATTCCCAGGGTGAAAATGTAGGAGATGACGATCCATTCCTGTGTGGAAGGCCAGCGCTCCATCTTCACCAACACGATGTAGTTGAACAGCATCAGGTACCCAATGTAAGCCAGCTGCAAGGAAACATAGTCCATGCTCTGGCTGCTGCAGCCCGGCAGCCCTGGCCTGGGAGGGCTGCGGCCACACGGGCAGGACAGGACAAGGGCAGCTACAGACATGCGTGGAGCCTATTAGAAGACATTATAAAGACTGCAATATTGAGAATCACTAAGATGCAGCCTCTCCTTTGGCCCCTCCTAGGTCCCTGCGTGCTGCTGCTTTGTGCCCAAGTGTTGTGATGCAGGATTTAATTTCACAATTCCCAGTTTTCTTGTGGCTTCCTGGCGCAAAGGGGAACCTCGTGTCAGGGGATGCTCTCACTTGAGCTGATGTAGCTCAGTGGATTTTTTTTTGCAGATTGGATGTGTGTGGGAAGGCTGGGAAGACACGCTTGCTACCTGGGAATTGTCCAGTCCTGCACAAAAAAGTCCAGTGGTCATCTGAAAGCCATGTTTCTGTCCTCCTCTGAGTCCATGTCCTCTTGTTTCGTTCCCAACTTGAAGTGTGTGGCTTGGCAGGGCCCTGGGAGGTGCGTTCCTGTTGTCCCCGGCACCACCTACCCAGATTAGAATGTTCCCCTCTGCTTTGGAACAGAACAAAGAGACAGAGACACTGACAGAAAGGACTGGATGTGCGTGGCCTGCATTGGGATAGGACTGGATGTGCGTGGTCCGGTGTGGCCTGCAGTGGGATTTCATCTGTGGTATCTTGGAGTGTGCTTGCTGACTGGCTAACGTCTGGGAGAAACACCTTGGGGCTCAGTCTGGTGCCTGTTGCTGGGAGATGGGATTGAGCAGGCTGTAGGGAATCTGCTGGGGAATTGGAAGTGGTGCATCAAGCCGCCAGTCCTGGGGACTCAGGAGCCGAGGACAGCGCTCAGAGGAAGCTTATTTGCACAGTCTATACTCTAAGGAGTCAGAGCAGGCAGAGCTCTTCCACAAGGGTGGAAGGTTCTGAAAGCTTCTGCAGACGCTGTGTGACCTTGGCAGGCAGGGAACCTGGCTGCTTGCTCTGGTGATGGGTGTCCATTCATTCATCCTTCATCTCTCTGACCCTCCCTGCTGCATTTTTTCTCTTCCCCCCTCTCTCCCTTCACCTTTATTTTTTTTGTGAGTGATTCAGTGATTGTTAACATCAGTCAATGTTATTTCTGAGATCCTATTTGCATACACATTTGCATACAACCATGCCATAGTTCCATCGTCTCGTAAAGGGTAAAATCCATGAGTTAAGTGAGATCCTGGATCATGTCCACTCCCACTGAGACCCTGACACGCAGACCTCAGGTAGGCACTGATGGTGGGTAGGACTGCCTAGCTGGTCGCCCTCTCCACCCGAATGGTTTCCCTTGCACACTCCCTGGCTACTGTCACTTTAATCTATGTCTAGCTTCTTCTTCTTCTCTGCCTTCAAGGTCATGAGCAAAACAAGATCACGTAGGGCATGGTTTAAAAGTCGGTTCAGGGGTTGGTGCGGTCATGCAGTTGGTTAGGCTACCACTTGAAAAGCCAGAATCTTACATGGGTGCCAGCTGAGGTCCTGGCTGCTCCGCTTCTGATGTAGCTCCCTGTTGATGCACCTGGGAGAGCTACAGGAGATGACTCAAATGCCCGAGCCCCTGCCACTCACCTGAGACCCTGACCTGACCGGCCTGCTCCATCCCTGGTGGTTGTGGCCTTTAGGGAGTGACCCGTGCATGCAAGATCTCTCGCCTCTCTCTGCATTCTCTGTAACTCTGCCTTTCAAATCAAATAAAATTAATTCAAAATGTGACTTCTTTTTACTTTAATCCAATTTATTTATATCTGAGAGGCAGGGTGACAGAAAAAGGGAAGGAGTGGCGTGGGTCAGGGAGGGTGGATATATTCCATCCACTGATTCATTCTACAGATGACTGCTCTAGCCAGGACTGTGCTGGGACTCCCTCCAGGTCTCGCCTGTGAGTGACATGGGCCCAAGCACCTGGATCAGCTTCAGCTACCTCACAGATTCATTGGAGGGGAGCTGGATCAGAAGCAGGATAGCTGGGACTTGAACTGATGGGTGCTGTGTAATGGGCTGTGGACGTCCCAAGTGGCAGCTTAATGTGCTATGTCACAGCATTCACTTGCAGATGAAGTGAATGTTAACTTCCCTGGTCTTCATCACGTGACCCAGTTCATTGCAAAAACCCCTCTCGAGCATCCTCTTCTCATCACCGGTAGGGTCAGTTCCTCTGTGTGTCCGTGTGTGACTCCTTGAATCCAACTCTATCCTCTGCATACAGGCCTCGTCTAGTTGAGGGAAGGGAGGTGGCACAGAAGTCAGCGAATCGTGGGTTTAGACCCGGCTCAGGTGCGTGCCAGCCAAGTGGAGCAGGGCCTGTGGAAGGATATCCTATGTATTTGCGTATCATCTTCCTACCTACCAACCACCCTGTCAGCGATCAGTTGCGTATCTATCATCTGTTAACCTGTCATCCATCCATCAGCCAGTGACCCCACCCACACAGCGTCTACCTAGTGTCCAGCACTGCAGCTACATATCTGTGTGTATCCACAATCTGTGGCCCATTTCTCTCTCTCTCTCTCTCTCTCTATCATCACATAGCTCTTCTAACACACTGGGGAGGCCCAAGGAACACTGGCTAATAACCATTCACCTCTTTGGGTTTTTTCAAAATGTCCCTGTCCCCTCTTGTTTCCCATTGATGCCCCATGGACCATTGATATTTCTCTTTATCCTGGTTATCGTTTTGGCTTCCACCACTTTTACCCATTTTAGCTCCTGTCCTTGAAAATCAGTTACTCTACAATGAACTTTTCCCATAGTCAAGCTACAATTCCCAAAATATAGATTTCTGGAACTAGGGCAGTAAGTGTTTAAACAGCACCACGGAGAACTGGCTGTTGTCCTTGAAGTGACCCATATTAGCATTCATGCAGCCTTAGAGCACATTATCCAAGCATGACATACGTTGTTTATGTGTGTGGGCACACAGCGTTACTTCAAATATTTCATGGAGAAACAGAATTAAGAGCTTATCTCAATGAAAAAGAATCTGAGATCCATGCCTGGTGTTTTTCATAACAGTTTCCATGAAGTTGGGAAGATTTCATGTGTGTATAAAGTGTGAATGTATTCCAAAAACTTTAACAGGCTGCATGTAGAATGTCAAAACTTTTCAACAGAACTACAACCTTGATTCTTATTTAAATCAGTGGGCATTCTAGAAGAGTCTATATTGTTATTTGATTATATGTTGTTTTTTTCCATTAGCCAAGATGCATGTTTCCTAAACTATCAGATACAAGGACCAAAGCCTGCAGCAGTTTGCTGTGGACCCCTGCTGGGGTCATGCTACTGCTGACTTTTCACAGGCCTTCTGTGTCCTAGAGAGAGGAGGGACAGATGGTCTTGCAGGGAGAAGGGTCTCTGTCACCCTGTGGAGACCCAGGGTGCACACTGTGTCCTCTGACCTGGGGCTTTGCACACCTTGAGTCTGACTCCCTTCCAGCTGGCTGCTTGAAAACAGCTCTTGATACAAGCAGGGCCTGGAAGCCGGTTGGAACAGAGGAAAATCCATCTTGTTCCCTGGAAAACTTGTTCAGACGAGGATCTGAGGTTCTGGGAAGTGGGGGACTTGTCCTGTCTTTTGGATTCTTGGGAGAAAAAGGGTTGGATACCAGTGTCAGAAATACAAAGAATGAGACCCAGATGGGGCCTTCCTCCTAGAGCCGACGTTCGTTGTGAATCACACCTCACCTCCATTCACGTCCTGGATACCTGTGCCTTGTGGTTGCTCGTGGGGATCCCTGAGGTTCATTTAACCCTCTGCAAACCACAGAGGCAGAGCAGTGGGTGCCGAGCTTCCCTAACCGTTAGACTCATCTTGGAGTTTATTCAAGCACAAAGCCTCCTCAGGCCACTTTCTGGTGATCGGATGGCATGACTCTGTGATTGGGCCAGGAATTTTCACTACTAGCACAACTCCTTATCATCCTGGAAGTATCACAAATATAGGGCTTAAAATTGAACGCTCTGTCTGGGGTGATGGTTCTCCACCCTGGCTGCTCATTGCAGTCACCTGGGAGCTCCGATAGTGCCTGGCACCACGGAGGGCACACCAAGGACCAGTGAATCTCTAGGAGGGTGTGCAGTGCCCGGTGTGCTTCTTCAGGTCGCTAGCTGGTTGCGATGCTTGGTCCAGGCTGAGAATGAGTGACCACAGATGAGAGTCATGCTCTAAGGGCTATCTTGAGCTACTCATTGCCTCAGATGAACAAACGGGACGACCCTGTTACTGCGCACTCAGAGGACTTGAGGAATAAGAAAGGTGAACGCCATGTCATACAAGTGATGGACCTGAGGCTCTGACCTCTGGTTTCATTGCACTGGGGATTGCAAACGTATCTGCCAAGGGTTCCACTTGATTTTTAAGGCTTCATGAGCCAGATGGTCCCTGTTGCTGTGGATCAGCCCTACTGTAGTGCAGGAAAGCAAGCAGCCGGACCATGGGGGAACAAATGAGTTTGGCTGTGAGCCAACAAAACTTTATTTATGGACACTGAAATTTGAATTTTATGTAACTTTCATGTGTCATAAAATATACTTAAATATTTTAAAATCTCAATCCCTTAAAAAATGTAAGAACCATTCTTAGTTTGTAGGCTACAGTAACAAGCAGTGGGATGTAGTTTGCTAAGACCTATTCTAGGTTGAGACAGTTAAGGCCTCATGGCCGAGGGGAGGGCAGATGTGGGAGCAAACAGCATCACACTTGTTATCCTGACAAACCTGTTCACATTAGGGAGGAGATTGCCTCCAATATTGCAGAGGCTCAATAAGTGATATGATTATTTGATGATTATGTGATGGATGGATGACTTTGACACTGATGATCTGTGCAGCGTGGCCTGGGAAAGCAGCTCTGTCTACACCAGGTTACATGTCCAGTCACTGGTCTGCATGCTTTACACACTTTAGCACATCTAATCTTCACTGAGCTCTGAAAAGCAGGTACTGCTATTACCCTATTTGAGGGGACATGATGGAAGAATGACTGGCTTGAGGGCACACAGTCCTGAGGCACGGAGGGGGCCTGTCCCAGGCTGCCTGCCTCCCAAGTCTGTGCTGGCTGCCGCCAAGAGGTTTTCTGTGAAGTAAATCTAATAGAGATCTCTATAAAATATGGGAAGAGAGGCGATTTCTGCATCCTCTGTTATTTTGGGGAGGAGAACTATTTTTTTTTCTTTTAGCATTGATAAATGTTAGTTGCATTTCACTGAAAAAAAAAAAAACTAATCATTTGAAAATATCCCCTCTTCTTGCAAGACCACACTTTGTTATGGTTGCTGTCTGTTATTAAAATCTATTTCAAAATTGGAAAATAGTACAGCTTAGGATGGCATTTCAGTACACGTATGTAGTTATATTTTGTATCATGTGATAATGCCTATAGAAGTAGTTCCCAACGGGGGGATCTTATTCCACATGGGGACACTTGGCAGTGTCAGGGACAATCTGCTTGCTGTACTTGCAGCGTAGGGGATCTGGTGGTGACAGGTTGAATGTGGCACTTGCGAATGACAGCCATGTGCCAAGACTTGTTCAGTCCGTGGTGCAGAAGTTGAGATTTTGCAGCCAGTGTTAAGTGTTGGCCTAGAGAAGCACACAGTAAGGCTGTGTGCAGCTGTTTCAAGATGGGCAGTAACTGCACATACACTCTACCCATCTAGGGATGTCACCTCTGCACCCTCCTCACTCACGGCTCTCAGAGCCATGGCCGACCTGCTGCTCATCCATCTAAACAGGGAAGTGCTTTGAAAAGGGGCATCTACTTTCCTGCTAGGACACACCCATCTTCATCTCACCTCTTTGTTCGGTTAGTTCTCACTTTGAGCATGTCCTTTATTGGCTGTGAAGAGGAGAAACACAGCCTGTGAGAGCTGCTTATCAAGCTCCACAGATCTTGGCAAAACTAGTGAAGAAACAAGGCCATGGAGTCCTGACTCCCACGCGCGGAGGCTGTGACTCAGAGATAACCACACAGATGCGTGGCAAGTGGACATGGGTGCCTTGGGGCCATCAACCAGAAAGGGAGAAGGGAAGCTTACAGTGTAGAACCAGAACTTGACGATGGGCGCGTTGTAGAATTCGTAGATTTTTCTGCCCAGGGGAATGAGGCGGTGCCTGCTCTGGACATCCTCTTCATCCTTCTTCCTGGAGGACTCCCCGTTGCTGCGTCCCAGCATGGCCTGCACAGAAGAGAAGGGCTCTGGGCAGCATGTGGTTCAATACACCCATTTCACAGTTGAGGATGCTCATAGAACTTCAGACACACAGGCCTCCAGTGATGTGCAAGCTGTATCCTTCCCAGGTGCATATCTGCGGTATACTCACGTGCCGTGGATATGTCCTCTCTCTGAGAGGGAAGGTGCTGGAATATTTCTTAACAATTCTCATTGACCATGGGATGTCTGGAAGATGTAGGTAATGAGGTCCCAGGATGAGAGAAGTCTTTAAAACCTCCTCTCCCCCACTCTCCCTCTGTCTCTGCATCTGCAGACTCTGTAGCCTTGTTGGGCCAGGGCCAGCTACTCAGTCTTAGCTCCCTTATGTGCATCTGGTAGACCTAAATTCCTGCTGGTATCAGTTTTCTGACAACTCCTGGGTTCTCTACCTTCCTCTGTCAACGAGATAGGACTAGGACAAGGATGCTGTAGGTAGGCCTGTCCTCCTCTCTGGATGTTGGTGATTCCCTGGGGTTACTCCCTTCCCGGCTATGACAGCAGCCCTGGCAACCACTCTGACGATCTGAGAAGACAGAATTGAGAAAGTCTACCTCTGTCCAGGTAGTGAGTGACAGGATGATTCCAGGATGGCGAAGAGTTCCAGGCTTTGGGGCACGTGGATGGAGCACTGAGTCCCATTTCACAGACTGACACTCTGAGACACTTGGGAAAAGTTTGGTTTCCTGTTTTGTTTGTTTTAAACTTCTCTGAGATTTAGTTTCTTAAGCTGTAAACTGGGGGTTAGTAAGAGCCCTGGCTGTGTAGGGTTGGTCTACAAGTCAGTTAACATCGGGAACTCAGTAACTACTTGAAAAATGCACACATTAACTCACCTTTAAAGTGAACTAAGAACTTCTCTGATATACTCCTGAGTGAAATTATTTAGTTAAGGTCTCTCACAAGTATATTTTTAAGAGCCTATAACAGCGTAGTTTCTGGGTTTCAATTTTTTGATATTATTTATGGCAAAGTTCCACAGTGTTCATGAAATGGTATATTCATTCAATGTGAGATTAGGGTAGGATATACCTGCTCAGGTATAACTGAGGATTTGGGACAAGAGTATGGGAAACAGGAGTTTAAAGTTCAGAAATCTAAGTATAGATAGCATTTATGTTTGTCTTGAAGTTGAGACTGGGACATAAAGAGACTAGGGCAACCATTGGGGAATTCAGGTTTCAATCCACCTTAACCTAAAATATAGAAATACTAGTTTTGACCATTTGGATCACTGCTTCAGTAACCACTGTGCAGGAATATGTAGCACTCGTAAATGATTTAGCAATAGGATTATGGGGCTCTGATAGTGAACAGGTAAGAGTTCACCCTAAGGCCCAGGTGAGCATTTACGTTGATAGACACAGCACACGAGAGAGCAACCAGCTCTATCAGGTCGGTAACTCATCTTCAGAAACTGTCACATGACTTTTTCCTTCTGCAATTTATAATGTTTTAACTGAATTACCCTGCTTTTGGTCTCTGTGTTTATCTTCTTGACAATACAATGCTATCTGGTGGCACAGAGCGATGGGAACAAAGGCATCTTGGAGAGGGGCCTTTTGGGGTAACCTTGAGGGGTGCTGATTTTTTCCCAGGAGAGTTGGTGCTGTACACACACTGGGACTTCATCAGACGAAGCACAGTGTGGAGATGTTTATCCAGGAACACATCACCACGGCTTCTTTGCCTTTATGATTCAGACATATTCCAGAAGGTCTGCATTTGTGGCAGGTCTGTCTTCTCATGAATAGAAGAAAAGCATTTTGGACATGTCATTAATTCTAACCTAAGCAGCATAACTTGCTGATTTTGTTTACTTTTTTCTTTATGACCAAACATTTTCTTTGACTCTCCTTAGATCACAATTCAGCATGGTCCAGATTAAAACCATACAGTCTAGATTGGGGAATATTCGCTGTCCGGACCCAGATGTCATGAAAATGGAATGAGTGGAGGCTGATATTTTTGTGTACAGTTTTGGAAGGACCAACGGAAAGTGTCCCACTCTGAGCTTAACACAGAAGCTCAAATAGCAGGCTCTGAAAGCAGTGGCAGTACCAACAGGCTGCGCCAGAGCCCTCGGGGGCAAGCCACAGACCTGCAACCAGGCAGGGATGCAATTTGCCATCAGTGTCAAAGGACTGCCATGTGAGAGACAATTACCCCACCTTGAGCTTGCCAGTCCCCAGGCCCTGCCTCGCCCTCCCTCTTGTTCGTGCTGGTTCATGCAGGAAAGCTGTTTCCCCAGGCTCTGTTTTGATGCTCACCCAACAATGCTAGCATCTGGCTGCTGGTAAGCAGGCTTTGCCCTCAGTCTAGACCTGCAGCTTGTCTTGTGGCCTGCTGACGGGGGCAGCTTCTCAGAGCTCTGCATGAGCAGGAAAGCTCCCTTTCTTCCCTGAGACTAGAGAGACAATGTGGGCTCAGCATCACACCACACTTGACCAGCAGGCCTGGGCCTCACTTTCTTGGTTTCTGTCTGTTGGCGTGGCAGACCCAATCAGTTGAGTACCTACCTGAAGGGGGTAGAAAATGGGAGGAGATTCCGTTCCCCATCATCTAGTGGCTGAACACATGGACAGAGGGGTCGATAGCTCTGGGTTGTACCCCCAGTTTTGGAGCCAATTTCCTGGGTAAAGCTGGACATTAAGCTGATTCCCAGCTTCCTTGTATAGAAAACGGGGGTAGTAATAGTGCCTAACTCATGCAACTTTGGTGAGGATTCATGGGGAAGTGTCCATGGGTCATTTAGTGCTGTTAGAACAATACTAGTGGCTGTTTTTCATGGATGGCAGTGTGCCACCTGTTGGTCTGACTAGTTCTCCTTGTTCCCTTTTGAAACTACGCTGTCCCCTGTGCTGGCGATAGGCTGATTCTCATGTGCAAGGTTATGGGATTCTACAGCTAGTTGCTAGGGGTCAGAATCCTGGCTCCAGAATACTCTTGCTTTTGCTGACATGCTTGAGAAAGATTTGGTATCTTTCCTACCCACGTTTCTGCTAACAAAGCATGGGTTCAGCGGCCAAATCTTAGGGAAGGCAATCTTTGATCCTATCGCAGAAATAAGTAGACTGTTCCAGAAAGTGTGGTAAGGCAATAAAAAGCTGGTGTTTCATTAATTGAGCCAGGGACTGTGCATTGCAAATACCAGTTTAGGATGCTCCTTTTGGTGGGAAAGATTTCCTACCTAAAGGAAAAAGATTTCACATGATGGCCCCGCCAGGACAGTCATGCAAAGGCCTGCAGTCACCCAAGCAAAATCAATGTTTATTCCTTCTCTTTATAGCTTCTGGTCATTAAAGCCACTGGTCACTGAGCAGAATGGTAGGGCGCCATGAAACCTATCAAGAAAGTCCTTGAGGATTGTGGCTCGATGGCTTCTAAGCCATGAAGTTTGTTTGTCCCTTTAAGACCGTGTGACATTTTTAGTCCCTGGATACAAGCTGGCAGCAGTCACACTGCTTAGGGAGGGCCTGTGGGAAGCCTCCCAGGCCCAGCTGCCCCATTCTCTCTGAAGAACAAAGCATTCATGTCCTATAATTACATGAGGGAGAGCTAATAAAAGCCTTCCATACAAAACCCCAAATTGAATTAGTGCTTTGTGTTCCTGACCCTGAAGACAGACACAGGCGTAGCCTCTGATGGGCAGAGGAATTTCAGCTCAGCGAGGCTGGCTGCACCTCAACCCTGGATTCCCTCTCTGTGCGGGTGTGCAAAGACTGCTGCGTGGCCTGTTGGATGATGGAGTTTTTGTGTTTTGAAAGTGTAGGGTGCCTTGCTTTGGGATTTCACTGGTTTGTGCTAAACCACTGGCTGGATTAAAACTTGTGCAATACAGAGACACTTATAATTTCCTGGTCTTCACACATAATGAAAGCCATTTCATTAGGAAGCCTGTTGGGAAGCTGGGGAACAGCTGCCTGATATCGGGGCACCTGCGGCAGCTGCAGCCGCACCCACAGGACAGGTGGCTTCAGGGCTTCTCCCTGGCGTTTCCTTACTGTCAGTTCCATGTCCTCTTCGTCCTTATCCTTCGTGGGCTTCTCGGGTTCCTCCGGCTCCTTCTCCTGCAGGTGGATTTCCTGAGCCTGGGTCATATAGGGCATGTCGTCTTTGTTCTTGAACTCCAAGCTGAGAATTGAAGGAGGAAGTAGAATTCCCAGAATTACCTAAAGTAATAATAATGATAATAATAATAATCACATTCAAAGGATTAAGATTAGGGTGGTTGCTTAGAAATCAGGCGTGTGTGTGTGTGTGTACCTGCACAGGGATCTGGATGTCTGAGTGGCTAAGCACACTGCTGTTAGAAGGGCCCTTTCATCCATATAGAACATGTTTTTGTAGTGGTGCCCCGTCCAATTCTTGGCAAAGCAAGCCATTTTGCTCAAATACATCCTATTCAATTAACAACCACTTGGCAAGGGGGAAACTGAGGGGGAAGAGCGACCTCATCTAAGACAAAGCAGGAAAGAATTGAGGTTTCCATTTCGCCATTAGACAGAACTTGACTGTGAAGTCAGTGCAAATACTGCATTTATTTGCCAACTTGTCAGGTGGAGTTGATTATGTCTTTCCTATTTGTAAAGGAAAAAAATGCTGTCCTAAAATACCTCAAGAAAGTTTGTGTGGGTAAAAAAAAAAATCCTTATTTATTTCAGAGCGTTCCCCTTGCCTTGGCTAGGAATACAAGTACACATCTGTGCACACACAGCTGAATCCATACACCCCAGTGGGCTAGGCTATTCATTGAGAGCATTTCCTGGCAAGAATGCCCCAGAAAAGGCCTGTCCTGTATTTCCCTCCATGTCAACATCGTGTGCATCTGTCTCTGTAAGGGTTCTAGACATGTGGGCCTTTCTCCTGAAAGTGCTAGCCGCTTCTCACCTGTCCACCCTGTTAGAGAACACATCCATTTCTCAATGGCACTACTGCCTCCAACCTGTGTCCTGCAAGTCTTCTCCCACATATGCTCTCAGCCCTGCAGCGGTGCTGGGACACAGGCTCATGAAGATGGTCTTCACTGAGGAAACTTAGATCATAGGAGGGTCTGTGAGAAACCCTTAAGGCTTAGTCAGGCTGTTAAGCAATGAGGCAGGGACAGTTCACACTGAAATACCACAGGAACTCAGAGGCAGCCAAAGGGCCACGGAGGATCCTGAATCCTGCAGGCCTGGGAAGGTTCAGGTGTCTGGCTGGCAGCCTGCAGGAGACACAACACCTTGTCCTCGGAGTGCCAAAGCCAGATTTGGCTCTAGTGTCCAGGCTTGGAGATCACCAGCCAGGCCGTGATGGAACTCCCATCATCCACTTCATACAACTCGAACTCCTCTGCAGTGCTGAGCCAAGAGCCCACAGAAAGAAGGAATGACAGAAGGGTGTTGGCCCAATAAAATAATGGCCATCAGAGAGAGGGAGAAAGTGGGGATGTGTGGGTCAAAGTGACGATGTTCTGTAGACACATACAATGAAGAAGTTGATGTACAACCCAAGGAGTAGCTACACCATTGTACACCGCAAAATGGCTGCAAGTCCAGGTATTCTGATATCAGCAGGACCTAACGGGGGACTCCTGAGTGTCTCTCCCTCTCTCTCCATATAGCTACGAAAACCACCAGCTAGGAGAATCTGATGATGCTTGGGTTTTGGCAGCATGCTCTTGAATTACAGAGTACCCCCATCCCACTGTGGATTTGGCTTGGAAAACTCCAATCAACCCTCTGGCCCTTGTAGCCAACAGGACCTCCTTGGGCACACTGACCTTGAGGCCTGAGTTTTTGCGCATGCGGAGGCGGCCCATCCACATGTCGGTGAGCAGCATCTGGCTACATGTGTGGGCAATGAAGTCACGGTGCTTGGCAGCCACAGCGAGCTGCAGGCAAGTGGCGTTGCTCCAGTTCTTCAGCTCATACGTCAGCAGCTTCATGGCCAGCTGCTCGTCCTGCTTGTAGGACTGATCCAGGAGCTCCACTGCCAGCTGGCCAAAGTCCCTGGAAGTAAATGTGCAGAAGAATCCTTCAAGCCGGAGCTAGAAGATGCACACTGCCAACTGCATCAGGTGGCAATGGGCAGAGCAGTTGTTTCATATGGGGTCTAGTCTGTTCATGAGTCACCCAGCCCATATTCATGGAGCATCTACTGTGTGTCAGTTATCGCATGCAGAGCTGGAGCCGTGAGGCAAACCAGCTATAGTCCTGTGCTCACTGAAAACAAGGTGAAGAAGGAGGAAGAAGCCGGTCAAGCAGGGAGTACAGGCTGTCTTCTTAAATGGGACTGACCTCACTTCAAACCTGGGTGCTGGCACCATGGCACAGCAAGCTAATCCTCCATCTGCGGCGCTGACATCCTATGTGGATGCCAGCCAGTTCAAGTTCCTGGAACTCTGATTCTGATTCAGCTCCCTGCTGTGGCCTGGGAAAACAGTGGAGGATGGTCCAAGGCCTTGGGATCCTGCACCCATGTGGGAGAATCAGAGGAGTCTCCTGGCTCCTGGCTTTAGACCAACCCAGCTTTGGCCATTGTGGCCATTTGGGGAATGAGCCAGTGGATGGAAAATCTCTTTCCTAACTGACCTTCTAGTAAAAAAATAAAATAAAATAAAATAAAAAGTCTTCAAAAGCTACGAATGTACAGCTTCGCACAAGTTACTTAAAATCTCTGAGTCTCATTTCCACAGCGGGGAGAAGCTCTCATTGGACCTAGGGCAGTTGATAGGATGCGAGTGTATGTTCACGTGTCTGCAGGGGCCTCTGTGTACGCAGCACTGCACAACGAAGGTTGAGAGGTTTTGTTCACCTTCCATGTGCACTAGTGGGATGATGCTACATTCCTTGAGTTTTGGGCAGCTCAGTTTCTCCAGTCTTTGGGGCCTTTCCAGTCTTTGGGGTCTCCCCAGTCTTTGGGGTCCCTCCAGTCTTTGGGTTCCCTCCAGTCTTTGGGGTCTCCCCAGTCTTTGGGGTCCCTCCAGTCTTTCGGGTCTCTCCAGTCTTTGGGGTCTCCCCAGTCTTTGGGGGTCCCTCCTTCCGTTTCTCCCCCGACTACTCTGCTTGCTGAGCTGGCCAACCTGGAGTTGTGGTTCAGCTCCTGGGAAATGTCATCCACCATGTCATTCTCAGAGGCCTCGTGAGCCATGGCCTTGCAGAGCTTACAGGCCACCAGGGCCTTGGCCATGGCCTCTTCCCCGTGCTGCCAGAAGAACAGCGCCATCTTCTGCCGCTTCATGAGCACGGCCCACACCATGAGCTCGTGGAAAGGGAATGGGAAGTGGTTGATCTCAGGGTCATCCAAGTCAATGTCCACCTCTTCCTCGCGCTTCTTGGTGGTCTTTCTTCCTCGCCTCAAGGGGATATCATCCTATGGTTTAGGGAAACACATGTAGGCAGAGTTGGATCTGTTACTTTTAAGAAATTACTGTATATCTTCTATTGACTTGACTCTGGATACACTGGAAAGAGCTCACAAAGGTACCATGCCCAACACACGCTTAAGTATAAACCTAGGGGAACATGCACATTTTACACTTAACAATGGATTCCTTTTTCATTTCACTTTAGTCCATTTCCTCTTCTACTCAAAGGATTATTTGTATTTTATTGCCCTTCTCTGTTAAAAGGACAAGGGCACTCTAGACTTGCACCAGCAAATACGATAGCTACATGAGCAAATCGTTGGAAGTGGATCCTCTATCCCCCATGAGATAGATACATTTCTGAAGCAGTTCTGGGCTTTTGTAAACATCCACAAGCTTTTTTTTTTTTTTCTTACTGGAATTTTTTGCTTCCTAGGTTTCCCATTTACCATAACCTCATGGTGGAATTCGTAAAGCTTTTGTGAACAGCATCCATGGACGTAGGCAATGTTTGTCCCCGCCACCTTTTTTTGCAGTCATATCCTAAGTTCTATCACTGAAGTAAACTTACAGATGTGTTTTCAAAATGCATAAAGAGGAAAAATAATTGACATACACACACACAAATTGAGCAAATATTTACCTCCATTCCAAGCAGTTTCAAGGCTTTGGGCTGTTAAAAAATATATTGCAATCAAAGTTAGACCTTTTGTTGCTAGAGAGGTAAGAAGAGAACCCTATAGCACATGTTTAGCAAGTAACATAATGCTATTGTGATATTATTTGTTTTATTTCATTAAACAAGAATACCGCAAGGAAAATTTATTTCCAGAAATTCTAAGACATGTAAGGATTTAGTGGTTTTGAGGAATCACAGACAGGAAAGTGGCAAGTTACCAAGAGATTGGAGATAAAACCTGTGGTTTATAATGTGTCCGGTGACCAAGCTCTCCCTCACTTTCTTACAATAGTCCTGCTTGGCTGACATGTCCATGGCATCCAATACTTGAACAAATGCTGTGGTTCTCAGTGTGCCCTCCCCAAATGTGTGTGTTGAAAACCTCATCCCCAAAGACAGGGTGTCAGGAGATGCACCCTGGGGGAGCTAATGAGGTCAAGAGGAAAGGCTTTCACAAATGGGAACAGCGTGCTTGTAGAAGAGGCCCACTGGAGCCTGCATATTGTTCCTGGACGTGAGGCAGAGCTACAGTCACTGACTATGAACAGGAAATACCCCCTCACCAGGGCCGCATCTGCTCATGACTTGATCTTCAGCTTCCCAGGCTTTAGAACGTTAAGCCAATTGTGTTGTCTCTAAGCCACCCAGTCAACAGCATTTTATTAGAGAAACTTGAGAAGACTAAGATGGATGAGCAATCCAACATTCAAAAAGATCAAATTAGAGATTCCTCAAGTCTCTGTTCTCTGAGGGCTTGGGACACTATTGTCATGGCCATCTCCTGGCATACAGAGCAAGGGCGAGTGGGCCAGAGGGCAAGTGCCTACAGTGCTCAAAGTTGCTTAAGGGTATCAGCCCCTGGAGAGGCATCATCGGTCATGTGGGATCGTGTGAGGGAGGCACAGGCTGTGCAGAGAGAGATCAGCACAGCACAGACCTCGTTTCCACTCAAGGTGGAGATTCAGCATTACATGTGGGGGCAGGTGTCCCAATGCTATGCTTCTGGGGAGTAAAGAAGTTGTAGCTAATTAGGAAGTGTTTTTTCTTCACCTGATATGGTGTTTGTTGTTATTGTTTATTTTACAGATTCTATTCATTTGAAAGTCAGCTAGAGACAGAGAAAGTCTTCCATCTGCTGGTTCACTCCCCATATGGCTGCAATGAGCCAGCCAGAGACTCCAGTCCAAAGTCAGGAGTCAGAAGATTCTGTTGGGTCTCCAACATGGGTATAGCATCCCCAGGCCTTGAGCCACCCTCCCTGCTTTTCCAGGCATATTGGCAGGGAGTTGGATCAGCTTCTGCAACAAGCACCCACGTGGGATGCAGGCATTGCAAGCAGTGGCTTAAATCACTTTGCCATTGTGCTCACTCCAATGCTATTCTTTTTAAAATTAAGAACAAATTTTAAACACATTTAAGAGCTGATCACTCTATGGAGAGTAAGAAGCCACACCCGGAATCTCCCATAGCTTGGTCCTCCCAGAAGGACTCAAATTTGGTAGAAGCCTCACCCTTTTGGGACCGAAGAGATTGTGGTAGAGGGTTCGGAAGCGCTTGCGTGTGTAGTTGCAGCGATAGGCGCCGCCCATCAGATACTCGATGACCAGGCCGATATCAATCAGGCTGATTCTGTAGTCGGGAGGCAGGTTCCCCTAACCGGGAAAGAAGGAAACAGACACACACACATCCAAGAGACAACGTGGTTTACTTGGGATTCTATTTCATGTGGTCGGTAACTATTTTAGAGTAAAAAAAAAATTAATGAAAAAAGAAACATATGAATGTATTATGCTGGTTAATTAATTCACCTTAAAATAGATCCAACCGAAACCTGGATATTCTCGCTTGGAAAGAAGACATAAATTAAATAAGAAGATGAAGTATTCGTTGACAACAACAGAAAATCAAAATATTTATTCACGTCTTCAGCTGGGGAGAAAAAAACACCAGTGTAGCAAAGAGAAGCACAAAGCTAAACACGGCAAATGCTGTTACTCCCCGGTGCCAGGAGCCAGTGCCCCCATTGCCCAGCTCCAGCTGCCTCGGACCCAGCCCTTCACCCTCAGCCCTGGCCCTCACTGAGCACAACCAGCCACTCGCTGAAGGAAGACTCCATCCAGAAGGTGAAGGTTATGGCCTGCACCTGGGCTGGCCCTGGGCTCGGGTCTCCACTGAGTCATGATGTGTTTCAGGATCAGCGCCTTTTCCAAGAAAGGGGCATGGCGTCTGGAGAAGGGACTGGATGCCAGGGTAAGGGTTGGCACGCACTTCCCCTGTGCTCAAGGAAAAGCGGGGTGAGCAGGGAGAAGGCGGAGTTTCCCAGGATTAAGGTTCTCCACTTCTCCTTAGAAGACAATCAGCTTCTCTCCAGCCTGGCTTTGTGGGGCATCCTTCGGGTGTCCACCATCTATACAGGCCACACGTGGGAACTGTCTTTTCTCTACTCCTTCCTGGGAGCTCACACAGTTGAAGGAGGAATTAGTTCTATCTGTAGGCAATGAGAAGTTCCCAGTGACCTGCCAAGGTTGAGTGGGGCTCTCTGGTTTAGTTCTGTCATGCAGGAGAGTGTTTTTATGCCATGAGTGACTAGGGGACCGCATTGTGTGGGAAGCACTGTGCCCTGAGGAGCGTCAGGATGGACTTTGTCCTTCCTGGAGAGCCCACGCCATGGGAGATTTCCACACGTCTCAGATAAGGCGGTTTTCAGAACACCTCCTTCAGTCTGCCGTGGGTTACGTTCTCTGGGTGATCCTGACACACACCAGCGTTTGCCTAACCTGACTATGGAAGCAGATTCGGGTAGCAGTGACAGAATGCAGGGGAGCTGGGACTCTCAACATGCTAACGGCTCAGCACTGTCAGGCAGCTAGGTCCTCTGGTTGGGCAGCAGGTGGATTTCCTGCCGTTCTTCCTCATGGTGAGCTGCGTCCACTGCAAGGTTTTGAGAGTCAGGGTCAGACTCCTGTGATCTCTACTGTAGCCTACCACCTAAAGTACAATTTTAGTCTTTCAGATTTTACTATCTTTTAATTCCCAGGGCCTTTGAGAAACCCTGAGAATTCTTGTGCTATTGTTGTTGAAAGTAACAGTAAGCCAGTTAAACAGGAAAGCACTGATGTGTCAGAATAAAGTTTGGGCTTGGGAGCTTTGCTACTCCCAGTCACACACCCAAGCAGCCGCGCCGGGCTCACTGACTCGAATAGCCCCCGTTTACTGCAGCAGCGTCCCCTGAGCTGGAGACACTGCTTCCTCTACGACGTGCTAACTCCGCTCAGTGGAGTGGGAATGAAGGGGCAGCAAGGGCACGCCCATGGGATCTCAGGGGTGCCACCCCCACCTGCTGCCGTCTGCCTGTCCCTTGGTTTGGGGTGCTGCCCAGGCCACCTGGGATCACGTGAGGGGTGTTTCAAAACGTGCATCTCCTTCTGCCTGACTGGCGCACGCCAACGTACGCGAAGATTCCTCTCACTGAGTTGCCCTTACACAGCAAACGCTCCCTACTTGCCTTCTGTCTTGCTCAGACTCACACAGCCACAACCTCTTCAGTCGGCAGCTGTTCTGACTCAGCAGGTTAAGGGTCCTCAGGCTATTCAGAAAGACCAATTAGCTGTTTCCTTTATGTAAAGTATGTTCTAGAAAAAGTTTGGTTTTCAGATAGCAGCTTTTAATGTATTGCCCTTTTCATAAAAATCAAACTGAGGTTACAAATGTTAGCCAGGCAGCCACTCTATTATTCTCTGGCAGGTTTTCCGAGGTCACAGCTTCTGCGGCCTCTGCCTTGACTGGAGGGCCTGGCCAGGGGGTTACTGGACCAGCAGTGGCTTCTAGGCGGCTGGACATGCCTCGGTCAGCCTCATCTCAGGTGCGCGTGGCTCCCCCAAGCACGGGCTCTGAGGCCGCCCTGTCTGTGCGCTGGGAGTCGGGCAGGCTGGAGGGCTCTGGCCTCCAGGCCACAGCTCTGGGTTCCTATCCGTCCTTTCTGAGGAACTTCTTCAGAGCTTCTTCTCAGTAAAGCGGGACTGAATTTCCCCACCTCCCGGTCTATAATGTTCAAGTAGCTGGCTTTGATAAAAAGCTCAAAGAGACCATCAGAGCAGGTGTATGAATGCATGCTTTTTAATCTTGTAAGGATAACCTGACTTAAAATATTGGTAGGGGTGAGTGTTCAGTGGTTAAGATGCCCAGATGCTCGATGCAGGACCCCACTCTGCACCTGGCCCCTAACTCCTGCCAGAGCTCACCTTGGGAGACAGCAGGGCTGGCTCGAGTCATGGGTTCCTACCTCCTGCATGGGAGACATGGAGTCAGCTATTACAGGTATTTCAAAGGGAACTGATAAAAGCCAAAACGTGGCTAACAGCTTGATATCTGCATATTTTGTTTTGAGTGTGAACGTGAGTCTTATTTCTAAGACACCAGTGTTTCCCCAATTACCAGTGTCCCAGGGAAGTGTTCACACTCTGGAGGTGTAAGAGCAGGCTTTGTCAGAAAGGTGCCAATGGTAGTAACATTCCAGGGAAGTAACACTTAGTGGCAAAGATGACATTTTTACCCAATGGCTTCGTTATAAAGAGGCATTAGGGGTACAGAAGCTAAAAAGGTCTTGGAATCTTCTCATATAAATGTTCATTATTTCAGAATCATATGTGCATGACCACGTCTGAAGCAGAGAGAACTTGGGGGTCTCTCTGGTTAACATGTTTGGAAGGAACAGCTAAGGAGAAGTTTACTTTAGCAAGTTACACGTGTGTCAGCTTTGTGTGGCAAGGCTCGAGGCACCTGTTCCTGTCCACAGGCTTTTTAGGAGCAGGGAGATGGAGAGTTAATTGGGGGAAAGACGAGATCGGTTTGAGAAAGCTGGGCATGATTTGGGCTTGTTGGGATAACAGTTGAGCGGACTCCGGAGGGCAGGGCAGCATCGGTGAGCGTGAGCGAGGAGCAGGACAGGAGCAGGACGTAGGCTGACGCTCTCCTGCAGGGGCCACAGATGCAGCAAAGGCACTGCTTCCACTAGAGCAGACGTTCCTGGCCAGGGAGGTTACAGCACTTACGCAGTCAACAGCCAGAGACAGGACCCCACAGTGGGAACAGCTGCGCTGTGGTTCCAACGGAACTCCCATGTACCCCTCACCAGCTCACTGCCTCTGCGCTTCAGTTTACGCTCAGCAAACGGGCAGCATGGACCTGGTTAGCTGCAGGGTCCTGTTTCTGAAAGTCCAACTGTGTGAGTAAGATCTGCCGGGTCACCTGGCCGATGGCCTAGCCCAAAGTTTGCAGTTATGGCCTGCAGTTCTGCTGACCGGGATTGAAGGCTTGGAGGCATGGGGAACTTAAGGCAGCCAGGACTGGGTCGTGCTCTTGGCACCCACGTTGCCTGCATAGGGCCAGGAAAGCGCATGGTACCATGTGTACCAACAGGTGCAGTCCAAGAACCATCTGAAGGAGTCTTCCTTTGCGACCCTGTGGTGGGATTCCTTCTACCTGCTGCTTCCTTTGCGCTCCTCCCGCCCTCTTGCTAATTGCTCTGGTAACTGGCGAAGGTGCAACACGTGTTTCTAATGCCTTAATAGCACGTGGTGGGCCACATGAGTCAAACGCTGCTGGGAGAGTGTGGACTCGCTTGGAAATGCTGCCTGTTCGACCTCTGCTGTGAGCCGAGACTGCAAAGGTAAGGTTTAATCCGTGCCATTCCTCAGGGGCTCCTAAGGCAGACATGGCATTTACCGTTTCCACTTGCTCTTCCATGAACTCTGTGTGTCAGCTCACGGCACCAAGTTCTGATTTCAACTATTTGGGAATTCTTTTTTTCCTTGAAACTTACGACGAGCTTTCAAAAATGAGATTGTGTCTCTCTAATGTATGCCAAGTGTGAAATAACTGCCGGCTTCAGGTTTGCTAAGGGAGAAAGGGCAAAAACTGAGAGCTCTGATGCTGACAGGACAGTGGGCTGGGGGTGAGTAGTTGCCAGGCCTCGACGGCAGCTCATGAAAGCCAGGCTGGAAAAGGCCTGAGCCAGGGCTGGCCCAGCCGCCCAGCCCCGTGACTGGCCCAGCCGTCAGCTTGGTAAAACATACGGTATCTGAGAAGTTTATTTAGCAGACGCGGTTATAAATATGGCACTTTCCTACCTACAGTGTCTTTGGGGGGGGGCAGGGCTGGTTGGTTTGCTTTCTGTCAAGCTTTGGGTCTTCATTCTCCTCATTAGTACTTCTACATAATCCTCAAAGCCACCCTTCTCTGTCGGGGAAGGGTTAGTAATCTGAAGTTTTAGCACACGTAAGACAGAAAACATTAGTTGAAAACACAGAGGCCCAAGCAGCAGCTGCTGAGCTGGTGGTTCCGTGTCAAGGAGAGCAGCCAGTGGGGGCAGTGACTTGCTGGGAGCACTGGGGCAGCAGGTGGATCTGCGTGGGAGGCCCGCTCAGGGTTAGTGTTGGCTTAGAGGGACCGGAATTTCTGGGCGATGCCGAACAGTAGCTCTTGACTCTAGATTGCTCCCTTGATGGAAACAATCTGAGATGTTGAAGCTAGCTTGGGAGCTATGTTCCACATTCAGTTTTGTTGGTTTTCAAGAGTTGCTGGACACTAGGAAGTGCTGGCTGGCTTGCGGAAGTCAGACCTAAACGCGCCTCCTGGGGTTGTGAGAGCGATTTGAATAAGTGTTGCTAGCTCGTGCACAGCATTTCGCACTGAGGTTCATAATGGGCTCATTTTGCACACAGGTTAAATGTGGCCCTCTCTCTTCTCTAACTACACGATGCCCGCGTTGTTGACAGGCATATTTGTTTTGCGCTGAAAGCCACTGACACGTTCTGAAGGATTTTCGAACCTAGTCCTGTAACCTGTGATCGTTGTATTGGCTCAATTTTCTTGGAAACTGTGAGGAACCATGTGAGAAAGTCACGCGCCATTGCTAACCTCTCTCTGATTCATCTCTTTAGAAGACACGATATAGGGAAGTGGGCTCCCACCGCGGGCCCCTCCTCCGTGGGACACACAACGTAGGTGCCTCCGGTTCTTGGACTGCCTGAGTTCTCAAGCCCTGCTCCGTGGTGATGCGGCACCTGCCTTTATCGCAGGGATGCAGGGAGCCTTTTCCTTAGGGAAGAAGCTGCACATTGGGTTTCTGTCTCTCCTTACCCTTTGGGAAGTCAGTTTAATAATATTCTACAAGATTTAAAAAATAGTTTCCCCAGGTGTTTAATTAGCAAGTCAACAAATGCTCATAAAACTACCTTCCTGACCCCTGTAGCTCTCAAATCATCCCTGTCCAAGTCTTTTTGTTAGTTTGTATTATCTTTGAGATTTTTTTCTTTAAGGAGCTGAAGATAATCTCTCCCTTAAAATCCTTCAGGCACCCTCCAGTGGTGTGAGCAAGCGCAAGAGGCAGCACAGGGATTTCAGGAAATGTTATTGCAAAGCAGAGTCCTGCAGGAAGGGGTTTGGATCAGTCGTGCCCAGTGGAGGTGAACTGTAAAAACCCCTCTGAAGATGGGGCGTGGTGTTACTGCTGGGGGACTGGGCAGCGGAAGTGGATGAGTGAGTGATGGGCAGGGTTGAAGAACCGAGGCTTTGTGCTCGCTGGAAAGTTCCACCATCTAGCTAGATAGGGACTTGAGGGGAGGGGAGTGACTCCATTTCCATCATCTCAGAAACTCAAAACATTTGAAAGTGAGCAACACACATCTTGGCATAGGAAACACGTTCAATGTGTGCTCTTCGAGTCTTCTGGGCCTAGTTCAATCTAAAACGAGCCTAGAGGAAGGAGAAAGGGTTTGTGGAAGGCAGCCTAGGGAGTGGGAATGTGGTGGATGAAGGGGAGACGCATCCTTGGTAAGAGAAACTGTTGAACTGGGACAGAGTGCCCTGCCTCACGGCGACCTGGGCTGCTCTGGCTGGCACCAGTGACCCACTTGGTGTGCTGTCATGACGGGAGAAAAGTGCCCAAGGGCCACACGACAACCCTCCTTCTTATTAACATCCTTACTCGTAACTAGCCAAGATCTAGCAGGCCAGCAGTGATGTTCTTTTTTCCTACCTTTGGAGGGAATTTAAAAGGTGACAGGGCACGGGCTATGCTAGCCAATGACTTCCTGTGCGATGAAGAAGCTTACAGCTTCGTTTGGTGGCTTTGTCTGTGCGCACGGATAACATGCCACACAGCAGTGACGGGGCACGCGCATGTCCACGTGGTGCAGGCACACGTGGGGCAGCAACTTCGCCCATCAGCTTTGTCCTCGGGTTTACAGCACTCTGTGGGATACACTGCAGGGCTCAGACCTCACTGACTGCCGAAGGAGACGGAGGTGAAAGAACAAGACTTTTGCTAAATTTAAACACAACTTACTGGGCCTCATTTTCCTTCTCTGTAAATGGAAATAACATATAACAGGCTTTTTAGAGTGCTGTCTGTGAACTGGCTTGATGAGAGCTTATATTCATACTATGCACTTGGTCATCCTAAATAACAATATTTTATTAATCCAAGGATCCAAACTAGCTCTGAATGAACCACTGAGTGTGGTTCTCATTTGTAAATCCAAAGAATTATCCTTAATGCATGCCAACAGGATTTTCCCCTCCTGTCGAATGATCAAGAGCATGACAGAATATTCTAGAGACAATGGAACGCTTGTGCGTTTCCGTCCTCATTCTCTTGAGATTCCCGAGCGGTGCTTCCTGCCCACTGCGGAAGGCTGGGAGGAAGCTACCTCTCGTGGCCCACTAGCATGGCAACTGGCCCTCCTCCCAAACGGGGCATACATCCACGTGGCACAGGGAGAGCCTAGGGCTCCGCTCTGCCAAAGCATCAAGTTCGACAAAAGCATCTAAAACCGCGGCGACTGGGGGGGACCACAGCTGCGTCTAAGCAAAGACATCGTGTTAGAGGACAGACAGGCGAGGCTGTTGGGCAAGGCGGGGCCGGAGCGGGCAGCGACGCTCACTGGGGCGGCTCATGCAAAACAGAGGTGTTTTCCACCACGCCAAGCGGTGAAGCCGGGCCTCCGACCCGCAGGCAGAGGGAGCTTACCTTCTTGACGTCCCTGACCAAGTGGTACAACGTATTCGAGGGCCCATGTCTCTGAAAATAATAAAGAAGAATCAAATAGCTTTGCTAGTCAGGGGCAAGGCACAAGGGATCTGGCAGGGAGGGCTGTGGCGGAGGGCCGCGCCCCGGGGACGCTCAGTGTTATCTGCTTTTCTAAATAAGGGGGCAGGTGGCCCACGTGTGGACGGTGAGGCCCGACTGCCCTTGTGTGTGGGTGGAGACCAAGAGGCTGATTTTTCCACCCTGGAAATACACCAGGGCACGCTGCCATCACAGCTCATGTACTGCGACGACTGAGATTGTTTAAGAAGGGCAGAGGGAAAATATCTGAGGCTTTGGGGTCTGCGGCCTTGATCACACTGCTCAAGTGTGCTGTTCTAGTGTGAGAGCGGCCATAGAGGAAGTGACATGACGCAGCGAGCGGCAGCTCGGCTGTGTTTGATGAAAGCTTTACAAAATCCATCCTTAGGTGGGTCATAGAGAGATAGTGGGGTAGCTTTGTCCTGCCGTTGGTTGCTGGCTGAGACTGGGCTTAAAGGAAAAATCATAGGTTGGGGAAAAAATACTTGGGGAGAATATTGGTGTTAATGGAAGGTAAGAAATGAGCTATCATGCTGTAGTCATTTTAGGAGAAAAAATGCTCAACATAGGATTCCAGGGACAGTTGAATTTCAGATAACAGTGGGACGGTTTTCAGTGTTTCTTCCTTGCTTGGAAGGGCAGGAGGGGACATACGTGAACAGAGAGAGCTAGAGAGAGAGAACCCAAACTGGAGATTCTTCATCTGCCAGTTGCCTTCCCAGATGCCGGCCACAGCTGGAACTGGATCAGGACAGAGGTGCGAGGCAGGAATCCCTTCGGTTCCCCCAAGGGGCCGAGGGTTCCAAGTGCCTGAGTTCGTATCCCTTGTCTCCCAGGCCACGCAATACTGGGTATACAGTGGTACTTTGCATATCTCATGGAAAAATGGAATTAAAGGATATGTTTATTTTGGTTTAAAACTATTTTTGAGACTAAATTTTGGAGAAAGCACATGGAAAATGTGTACTAGGAAAAAGTCCGCCTGTATTTTAAACATTTTTAAACCGAAAAACATACATTTGATGCCATTTTCCTCTAAACTTTTTCAAGTATCCTTATACTTAATCATTGTTGATTATCTGAAATTCAAGCTGGACTGGACATCCTGTGATTGTTTGCCAAGCCAGGTGATCTTCACGAGAGGATGTGTGGTGGTCGGGGAGTTCCGTCCTGAGCAGCCCAGTGCCAAGCCTCCACCTGCGCCCACCCTTGTGGTCGTGCTCACTAGAGCTGCCTCTGGCTTGGAGCCGCGCTGCTCTCCGGAGTCAGGGTGTCTGGCTGCTGAGCAGCTCTCCACAAACGCAGGAGAGGGTCCAGCTGCTGGGCGGCTCCACGCGAGCAAGGGAGAGCCGCCTTGCTTCGCCAGAACCTTGACTTAGCCCCTCTAACTTGGGGTCCAGAAAACAGACCCATCAGACGGGACTGCTGTGAGGATTATGGGGTCCAGCCTTGGCCAAGTGGTTGACACGATGCTTGGCACCTGCCAGTCGTCAGCCTCTGCTGCCGCTGGGCCATTCACCGCCCCCAGCCCTGTCCCTTCACCTGGCTGGGGGTGCAAGGTGTTCATTTTAAATGGGGTGATTGTAAACGGGACACCCCGTTATTTTTGCTGAGATTCTCACTGTTGCTCCAGGAGACAGAAGCCTGCCCTGGTCAGCTGTTCTCTCCTCCAGAAGGAATGCAGCGGAGTGGCAGAGCAGAGCCATTGTGCACCTGTGGCTTAGGGGCTGGGACGCTCGCATTAAGCAGCCCAGGGCTCTGCCTCTTCTGTGGCGGAAGGTTTGTGTCTCCTACAAAAGTGCACGGTGTGGTCACAGCATGGCAGGGTCCCTGGGGAGGGCAGTGCATCCCGAATGCACATGGCCGAGAGGGAAGAGGCATCGCACAGCATTTGGCTCCCTCTTTTCCATCCCCTCCTCCCACCACGTGGGGCCACATCCTCCCCGAAGGATGCAACAAGAAAGCATCCTCTTGGAAGCCAAGGGTGCCCTCACAAGATGCCACCCTCCATGTTCTTGACCTTGGACCCAGAAGTAAGAACGGAGGTATAAATCTGTTGTTTGAGGAGGGCATCGCAGGAAGTCCACAAGATAGTGTACATTTCAGTCCACTATTGCAGATGAGATTTTACGTCTTATTCCAGTATTTCAAAATAAGAATGTCCTGGCTGTTAGGGTGCTGCATATGTTAGGGTGTCGGTCACTTGTATGCTTGGCATTGTCACTTTGCCAATTGCTTCCACCCCGCTTTGGCCACAGTGGCCCAGGGCGGTCCTGGGCTCTCTCCCTCAGATGCCTACAACTGAGCAGTTACAACAAGTGGAACCATGGTGACTTGGCACCTGTTATCAAAGGCAGCAGTTGTGAAGAGTGGTCCATGCACGTGGGAGGGAAGGGTGTGGGGGAGGGAGAGAACCACAAGGCATGTGTGGGGCAGAAGGTAAAACAGGGAAACAAAGTCAGAAGTGCCTTAGCTTGGCCCTACCGTATTGTACAACTCCTCTAGTCTGGAGATGGTGAGGAAACGATGCATGCTTACTCCATTCTCGATGAGCAACTTCACAAAATCCACTCTGTCCAGGACAAGGGCGTCCAGCATGGCTTGCTCCAGAGACCCCACCTGCAAATCAGCTTGCTGAGTCAGGCTGCCCCAGATGCAGACAGCTGTCTCGTCTTGGAAGTCAAGCCGTGCGGTCCTAACTGCCAAGTGCTGGGTCATGGAAAGGTGCAAGTGCTCCTAACATCTTTCTCCCCTTGCCTCTCTGTCCCAACTGCATGCTCTCCTCCCGGAGCGAGGGAAGTGCTGGGCGGGGCAATTTCCCCTCCGTATTTTTGGTAGCATTAATGCAGGGGAAACAAACCAAGCACAGTTACGTAAATCTCTAGTTGCCCATGTTCTCTGGGACCAGGGAGGTCCTGTGCTTTGCCACCAGGACCAGATGGCACCTGCGGGCGGAGGCCTGGTAATTCAGCATCCCGTGGTGTGACCCCGCCATAACCAGTGTGCAGTGCCACTGCCTGGCAGCAACAGCCTCTTCTTTTTGCTCCTCAGCAATACCATAAGAACAGAACGACACATATCACTTCACTTGAACTCAACTTTATCTAATGTACTTTTCCCCAGACATATTAAAAGATGTAGGTTGACGGTTTCAATCACAGACCATTCATAAAGATGGTCATGTTTGGCCTTGTGCTTAGCTGTGACGTCCACCAGGTGGCGGCATTTCCCCAAATTAGAGGGGCGTGCAAGCCAGGGACTGCGTTAAGGCAGGAAGCATTTTTTCCCACCGTCCAGAAAAGGCAGTAGAATCCAGAGCCACTCTCTAGTGTTCCTTCAACAAATACCCTTGCCCAAGCAAATGGGCTTTTCAGAGGGGAAGACGTATACTCTACCGGCCACTGTTGCCCATAAATAAAGATCTGGCTGCGGGCGATGTCCACGCGGTTCCAGGCTAAAGCTAAACTCAGCTGGTCTGGGGCCGAGGCATTGGCACCTGTGCGCAGAGAAGTGGGGAAGAGGGTGGGAGAGAAAACAGCAGTCGGTTATTATTGCGCTCGGCCCTGTTGCATCCCTCTTCCTGGAGAGCTGGCTCGGCTCTCCGTGGGCGGTTACCTGCTTTGCTGTTTTTTTTTTTTTTTAACAGACCATCCCTCCAGGGCAGCGCTGTTTACATGTGGTTATTTAAATGTATTCAAGCAAACAAAGAAAAAACCCCTTTGCTTCCTCTGGCACACCTGCCACATTTCCAGCGCCCCGTGGCACACACTGGCCGGCGGCTGCTGACTGGAGAGCCCAGGCAGGCAGCCTTTCTGTCCTCGTGGGAAGGTCCTCAAGCCTGAGGTGGCCTGGAGGCTTCCTGGAAGCACTGTGCGTGTGGCAGGGCCTGCAGGGACGCAGCGGGCAGCGGGCGGAGAGCGCGGGGCCACGGGGCTGGGTCTGCTGGTTTGCGACTGTAAGATGGAGTTCCTTAAAGCCACTGTTCATCTGTGAAAGGGGGGCTATTGAGATCGTCCTGTTAATCCAAGCAGGATTCGTGACATTACGGGAGTACAACGTGCGGAGAAGTTTCTTAAAGAGTGTCTTTCTTTTATTTGGAAGACAGTTAGAAAGAGAAGGAGAGACAAAATGGTCTTCCCTCCGCTGGTGTGCTCCCCCAATGACGGCAATGACTAGAGCTGGGCCACTTTGAAACCAGGAGCCAGGGCTTCTCCCCGGTCTCTTTCAGAGTTGTAGGGTCCACCCGGAGTGTCCCAGACCCTAGTAGAGAGAGGATAGGAAGTGGAGCAGCCAGGACTCAAATCTGTGCTTGTCTGGGAAGCCAGAGCTGCAGCTGAGGTTTGGCGCACTATGCTACAACACCGGCCCCAAGGGCCAGGCTGTTTATAATTCACCAGCATCATTGGCATGTCCAGGGAAGGCCATCAAGACCACTGTCCCTACCTTCCTGCGTGTCCCACCAGTAAGGGGGATGTACAGGAATAAATGCCCTCCCCTGGCTCAGAGTGGTTGAGCATCTCCCATGTGCTGGGCAAAGATCAGGCACTTTGAATCGTTGTCAGAGCTAATTCTGAGACTTGGCTCTGATTGTGTCCACTGCACAGAAGACGCTGGGGTCCAGAGAGGCTGCTGGGAACAGAGCCATGCCAGCTGCTCCAAGGGGAGAATGAGCAAGAGTGTGCTGCGCACTGCCGGTTCTGCTGGGCTTGGCTGCAGCGCAGGTCACGGGCGCCGAGGAGGGCCCATGGCACGCTGGAAGTCCCCAGGGAGACTCCAAGATGCCATCACACTGCAGTGCAGTCACCCCGAGGAGCTGGGCAGCACTGCGGGCTTTCCTGCCCACTGCCCAGTCTGGGCTCCGTTTGCCTTCTCCCCGCCTCCCTCTGGGCCTCAGAGGTGTTCGTGCTCAGCATTAGGGAAGTGTTTCCACGGTGACCACTTCTCAGACTGGAACCCACATCAGCGCAACGTGGAGAACTTGAACCATCTTTATGAATTTGGAAAAGCAGAGTGACACCTTTCCCAGGGCCAGCCCAGGCTGGAACCAGAAGCCAGGAACTCAGTGGTTGGCAGAAAGCCAGGTGTCAGGCGACCAGGTGCAGCCTTTGGGCACACTGGCAGGAAGGTGACTGGGAGTGCGGACACGCTGACATGTGACCCGCACTTGAACAAAGGCTGCGCCCCTTCCCTGCCGCCGGCTCATTGCAAAATTAAAAAATAAGGAAAGTGTTGGTGGGGAATGAGGGCAGGAGGGAGGGCGGGGTGGGGCGTGTTACTGTGCTTCTAAGTCTCTGCTGTGGACTTTTCCCACCTCATCCAAACAAACATGAAAAATCTGCTGACAGTGCCTCGAGAGGCAGATGAGCCTCAGATGTCAAAGAACTGAAATGTCTCGGCCCATCGAAGCTATGCGCCCAAGCTCACAGGTTGCATTAGGAAGGAACACAGCCCCTGAACCACGCAGGCCTCGTCCGCTTGTCAGAACTGCTCAAAGCGTGCTTCTGTGACAGCACGGGGAGTCGGGCAAATCCCGTTTCCTACTGAGATTTTTTTTTTTCCTTTTCAAACTCTCCCTTAAGCAAGAGGCTAGGAGAGAAGATGTATTAAGTTGTAGTGTAAGAGTGAATACAGACACAGAGGCTGTGTTTGAATGATACGAGTAATTGTCTTGAGACAGCACGAGAGGATTGCTTGTAGACCGCCCCAGGGAAGCCCGGGCTGTGGACACTGAGTATGCTCCCCAAGAGAACACCACCCAGACAGGAAGGTGCCTGTGATGCGCTCCCCAGCCCGCATGTGTAACGGGGCCACAGCAGAGTTCCTCGCTTCCAGGAGACTCGGTGGGCTTCCTTCTCCCTGAGTCAGTGGCTTGTTGTGAGCAGCGTCTCTGTCCATCTGTCATCTCTGGTGAAGTTGTGCTCCGCGAGTTTGGAGACCCTTGGTTCCTGCTCCTGCTTAGCACTGGGGCAGTACTGTTAGTGTGAGAGCACAGGTTGAGGAGTTTTATTGTAATATGAGCCAGTCGGGCTTAGGGGCATGTCTTACTTCCATTTTGTGCCCTATGGTCTCCTAACGTCCTGGGTCAGAGAGCCAAGTGTCTTTTTGTAAGCTGACAGTTGACTGGTGGTTGGAGGTCCCTAGGTAGCTTCAGGAGAGGGGTGTGGTCCCCAGAAAGATCACGGCAGAAAGAGAGGGTTTGGACTTTCAGCCCACCCCTCAACTTGTGTGAGGGAGAAGAAATGAGTTGAACCAGTCGTCATTGATGGATTATTTAATGCATTTTGCCTACACGGGACTCCCATAAAAACCCCAAAAGACATGGTTCATGTTTTCCAGAACTTCTGGGGAGCTGAACAAGTGGCGGTTCTTGGAAGGTGGCACCCCACAAAAGCCAGGGAAGATCTGAGCCCACATAAGTGTTTTGTCTGCTTCCTTTGTCATATCCTTACATTAGACCAGTACAGGTGCTTCCTGAGTGCTGTGAGCTGCTCAAGAAAATGAGCAGAACCGAAAGAGAAGGCAATAATAGCCTCGACTTATGACTAGTTGACCAGAAGCGCAGGACCTGACACCTGCGGTATATTTGTGGGGGTGGCAGAGATCTGACCCCATGTGCAGGTAGTGAGTGTCACCACTGAGCTGGGTCAGGACAGCACAGCTCACTCACGTCTTCGGTTGCAGCACTGCTTGGTGGGTGGGGCTGCCAGTCCCTGGTATGGTGATGCATTGGGAGAGTATCATAGGAGGTACTGGGTCTGAGTTTATTTCCAATGTGGGAACTCTTCCATGTTAACATATTGACATCTTTTTTCTTAGGAGGATCAAATTTCACTGGAAAGTTTGTTCCCATCTCCTGTCTGGAAGAGAGACTCGGGAGCTGGCGTACCAGAACACGGGCTGGGTAAGAGCTGCAGTCTTGGCATCTGATATGTAGTGTCCCTGTATCGCTCAGCGTGCAGCCCAGCTCCTAGCACTTGCCATCTCTGGAGAGAACGATTCTTCACTCTTCAGTTGAAGCAGAGAGACATGGTAGGGTATTGTGGTTGCTTCTTAGAGAAAGACTTCCATCACTGATATTTACAGCCATTCCTATTTTCCTCTGCTCTGTTTTGAATGTTTGGACGCCCAGCTCTCTGGGTCTTTGGTCTCATAGGTCAGCCTGGTAACAGTGGAGTATTCCTTTCCTTTTTCCTGGTCTGCTGTTTTCCGTTCTTCCATCTGCTTCTCCAAGGTTTTAGAAATGCATGCACAGTTTTGAGCACATCTCGTTGACTGAAAATGTATCGCATGGTCCTAATTTCTTAATGTTATCTGGGATTTTTAGTTTGCCAGAAAGGAAACTGGTGTGATGGGGATATTTGCAGGTTCAGTTGACCACATCTATCTGGTCTATTTTTGTCTGTCCATGCATTTTCAAGTACTTATAAATGTTAGTTATCACCCTGTGTGAGAAATGGCACCATCGTTACTGTCTCACACTGACCATGAAGCACAGGATGAAGAGCAGGTGTCCTGACTCAGACTCCCTGCCTTCATGCCCAGCCTCCATCCATTCTAGCTGTGTGACCCAAAACATGACACGTGGCTGCTCAATGTCGCAGCTGCCTCTACTGCGAAACGTACGGTACTGACAGTAGCTGCCCCAGTGCACTGTTGTTCATACATGAGGTCTGACTTTGCTGCTGTTGATAGCTTTACTATTGTGATTCCCGTAATTTTACTGTTCATCTAAGCTGCTCCCTTTAGAATTATGCTGCTACCAACCAACCTACATGATCTTGTAGTTAAGCCCAGGCAGATGACTGATGTGATGAATGATGAATGATGGTGATTCATGGCTTTCAAGCAAGTCAAGAAAGAAAAGGTGCAATTCCACAGTCCTGCTGAGAGCAGATGAGTCCTTCACCAGCCCCGCCACACGGGAGCTCTGTGTTTGCAGTCAATATAGTGTGCTTTCTTCCTGTGCCAATTTGGAGAGTTGAAAGCAATTCACAGAGGGCAAGGCTGCTGAGCTCCTGTGTAGCCAGCTGCCAGGAATGGCCACATCTGGCACCAGGGTTGGCTGCTTGGTGCAAGGGAACAATGATGGGTTTGGGTCTCTGCCTGTTCTTTCTCCAAATGCCGGCAGGGCATCTTGCTTTCCTAGATCTCTGGCTCTGTTCAGTTTGAGATTTCTACAGAGTTGGAGCCAGCAACTGAACACATGCTAGGAATGGCCTATTAAGACTGCAGCCTTGTGGGTGCTGACGTTTAGTGGGTATGCAGCCACTTGAGCAAACATGCTGCACCTTCTTGTGTTGGTGGTTAAGACCTCGGAACAAAGGACATCACTGTATTCTGTTCTAGGGAGAGGCATTAGTCCAAACCCCACTCTGGCCGCCTTTTATGAAAGGAGCTGAGCGGACAGCAAGCGGCAAACCTGCAGAGAAAAGGGATGGACTGTACTCCAAAGGAGACGTTTGCTTCACTCTTACAAGGAAGCATGAGGAAGCAAAACTAATGGGAGAAGGTGTGGTGCTGGTGGAGGGAGCTGTGAAGCAGTGCGACACTGGAAATGTCCCCTTGGGAAGTGGTCAAAGGATGCCCGCTGTTCAGTTCCAAGTTCTGTATTACAGGAAAGTAATCCATTTTCCTTGACTCCTCTGTATCCACATTTTAAAAACTGTCTACAGTATTGAAATGCTTTGCATTTTTGTTTTGAAATGATACCTGTGTTTGAGATTTTGACTACTGTGATGAGGAAAAGAAATGACGCCTGTGGACTTGGGGGCCCAGACTGACAGTGACTGCAACCCGGAGGCAGGTGGGGCGTCTGCATTTCTGGACTTGGGTGACACAGAACCGGGGTGATGTGGTGCTTGTATTGTTTGGATTTTTGTTAGTGGTTGTGACTTTTTTTTTTTTTTTAAGATTTATTTTTATTATTTTTTCATTGGAAAGGCGGATATACAGAGAGGAGAAACAGAGAGGAAGATCTTCCATCCGATGATTCACTCCCCAAGTGAGCGCGACGGGCCGATACTATGCCGATCCGAAGCCAGGAACCTCTTCCGGGTCTCCCACGCGGGTGCAGGGTCCCAAAGCTTTGGGCCGTCCTCGACTGCTTTCCCAGGCCACAGGCAGGGAGCTGGAAGGGAAGCGGGGCTGCCGGGATTAGAACCGGCGCCCATATGGGATCCCGGGGGTGCAAGGCGAGGACCTTTAACCACTTGCGCCACCGCGCCGGGCCAGTGGTTGTGACTTTTGTTAGTTGGACCAGGACCCAAGCACTTGTATCAAGAAATGTTTCTTTGTGAAATGCCTAGTCATTGTCAGGTGTTTTGCTGGCTGCTGAGATACTAAGGCAAAAAGACAGACTCCTTTTTCTCCCAGAACGTCTCGGGTGGGAGGCGGGGCTTGCCACCAGGGCATTCACAGCTCCTATGTTGAATGGGCATCTCTGGTTTACTGTGGTCGTTCTTGGTTTCCTGCCCAGGACAGTGCCAGTTTGAAGATGAAGGGGTATTCATTTCGCAGAGTTGTTGTGAAGATAAGATGATAAAATGCTCTTAGTTGTTAAGCACTACTGGCAAATAAAAGGGATTAAGAGATTTAAGTTTTTTATCGCCCTTTCCTCTTGGAGATAAGCAGGCATGCCTGAATATACTATCCACCTTAATCCCTTTTATTACTCTGAAATCTGTTTGGATTTGCATGAAAATAAATTTGCCAGAAAATTAATTTCATGTTAAGGCAGTTTAGCATATGCTCAACCATTTTTCAGATTAATCTGCTCTGATGTGTCCTGGACTCTGACCTGTATGCTAGAGGTGTTCTGTTTGCTTTTACGATGTTTTTTATTCTTCCAATTTGATCCCTTCAAATTTAACATATTAGAATTGTGATGGGTTTTAGGTTTGGGCACCTCTCCATGTCCTAGGAACTGTGAAAACCTATTTTAAAAGGGAAAGAGTAGGGACCAAGTATGTGAGCTCCTTTTGACTACTGGGATGGCTGAGGGCTCACTGTGGATCCTTTTCTCAGCTTGGGGAGCTGAGACTAAACTTGGTTATCTGGTCACAGTCAGTAAAGAAATGAATGGTCAAGATTTGAATTATCACGTATTTAAATTCTACAAAATTGAGACAAACTCTAATACCAATAGAAACATTTGGCAGCAGTAACATATCTTAGGGGAGTGGCCCTTACGTGATGTGTAATTAGAGGTGTCAGATCTCTATTAGGAAACAAGGTTGGTGTGCGAATCCATTTATCACATGCTACAATTCTCTGTCCATGGAGTTCATGCTTTTACCTTTGAGCAAAGCTGTCAGGATGGCTAAATCAATGTCCTGATGTCCCTCCGATCCCATCCGGAACACTGTGATCTGCAATTTGAGACAAAATCCTGATTAGCAATACGTTCTTGTCCCCCAAGAGAAACTAAATGGAGGCTATGTGGAAAGCAGCTATGGTAAGATCTCGTAAGCACAGAGCAGGCGTACAAATCAAGGATGGAAATGCTTTAGAAATGCATAGTTCCTAGAACATTTATGAGGAAGACAATGCCAGGCGTATTTTTTTTTAACATAATACTTGGTTTAACAGTTATTTGATTTTAGATTTTCTGCCTTTTCTTGGCTTAATTTTAGTTTTCTTGAGTGCGTGAGTTAGTTTCAAATAGTTATGTTTAGGAGATTGGTTTGAGGAAAACATTAAAAAGTAAGATACTCCACCTAAGAATGGTAGCATGGGGTGCATACGGGGATGCAGCTGTGACGAAATCTCTCTGGATGCGTGCATCCATGTTAGCATCGCAGGTTCAAGACCTGTCTCTGCTTCTCAGGTAACTTCTGTGCAGCTGGGAAGCAGCCGACCACGGCTGGAATGCTTGAGTCCTTGCCTCCAAGTGCGAGGCCAGATGGAATTTCTGACTCCTGGTTGGGCCCAGCTGCAGCTATAGCTGGCATCTGAGGAGTAAGGCAGTGGATGGAGAATCTATTTTTCTAAAACATGAATATTGAATGGTAATGTAACCAAAATAAAAATAGTTGAAGAGATTGTCACAAGCATTAAGACTCCACTTTAACACAAGAGCCTGCCGGAGATGATCCTCATTTTTGAGGAGTTAAACACTGAGAGTTTTGGGAAAGCCTGTGTGCTGCCCGAGTGTTAGGCTTGGTTAAGGAGACTTGGTGCGGATGTGACATTTTTGAGATACCAGTTGTCTGGATCAGTTAACTCCAAAGTATGTTTTGCTCAAATTTTTGAAATTGGTTCCATGCAGATTAAATTGCAGTTGAGAGACTCCAAGCAGGTGTATATTAAAGAAAAATGAAATAGTGTGGAAATGATCTACGGAAGTAATTTTACATTGGGAAATATTTTGGTTTGTTTTTGAGATACAAATTAAAATACTGACTAGTTAAATAGCAACAAAGTGTTCAATCATGTGTGACTGAATTAATCATAGATTTTCCATTTCTAAAACAGCAGATGTTACAGTTGAAGATGGTGAGGGTAGAGAGAAGTGCATAGGGAAAATGAAGATTACTCAACTTTCAAGGTAGCTATTAATTGGTTTAATTTCTGATTTGCATTTATGTCACGTGAGCACCAAAGCTGTGACAACAGACATGGAGAGTGAATGGAGCTTTTGAAAATGAAAACCCTGGTGGGTCTCAGGACGGGCGTCTCATGCCTGGATCCCGGACGGCCGCCATGGGCACATGGTGAGCCGTCCTCCCCGGGCCTGCTGGGTTTCGGGGGCCGCTTCCTTCGGGGTGAGTAGACCGAGGGGGGGAGGCCTCCGGGACTGGGCAGGTCCGGGGCCCACCCGCCGCCTTCATGGGGCGGTGAATGGGATTTCGGAGGGGCGCGACCTTGGGCCTGGGTTATTTAAACCTCCAGCTGCCTCCTGGCAGCTGGTGGGTCTCAGGACGGGGCGTCTCATGCCTGGATCCCGGACGGCCGCCATGGGCACATGGTGAGCCGTCCTCCCCGGGCCTGCTGGGTTTCGGGGGCCGCTTCCTTCGGGGTGAGTAGACCGAGGGGGGGAGGCCTCCGGGACTGGGCAGGTCCGGGGCCCACCCGCCGCCTTCATGGGGCGGTGAATGGGATTTGGGAGGGGCGCGACCTTGGGCCTGGGTTATTTAAACCTCCAGCTGCCTCCTGGCAGCTGGTGGGTCTCAGGACGGGGCGTCTCATGCCTGGATCCCGGACGGCCGCCATGGGCACATGGTGAGCCGTCCTCCCCGGGCCTGCTGGGTTTCGGGGGCCGCTTCCTTCGGGGTGAGTAGACCGAGGGGGGGAGGCCTCTGGGACTGGGCAGGTCCGGGGCCCACCCGCCGCCTTCATGGGGCGGTGAATGGGATTTCGGAGGGGCGCGACCTTGGGCCTGGGTTATTTAAACCTCCAGCTGCCTCCTGGCAGCTGGTGGGTCTCAGGACGGGGCGTCTCATGCCTGGATCCCGGACGGCCGCCATGGGCACATGGTGAGCCGTCCTCCCCGGGCCTGCTGGGTTTCGGGGGCCGCTTCCTTCGGGGTGAGTAGACCGAGAGGGGGGAGGCCTCTGGGACTGGGCAGGTCCGGGGCCCACCCGCCGCCTTCATGGGGCGGTGAATGGGATTTCGGAGGGGCGCGACCTTGGGCCTGGGTTATTTAAACCTCCAGCTGCCTCCTGGCAGCTGGTGGGTCTCAGGACGGGGCGTCTCATGCCTGGATCCCGGACGGCCGCCATGGGCACATGGTGAGCCGTCCTCCCCGGGCCTGCTGGGTTTCGGGGGCCGCTTCCTTCGGGGTGAGTAGACCGAGGGGGGGAGGCCTCTGGGACTGGGCAGGTCCGGGGCCCACCCGCCGCCTTCATGGGGCGGTGAATGGGATTTCGGAGGGGCGCGACCTTGGGCCTGGGTTATTTAAACCTCCAGCTGCCTCCTGGCAGCTGGTGGGTCTCAGGACGGGGCGTCTCATGCCTGGATCCCGGACGGCTGCCATGGGCACATGGTGAGCCGTCCTCCCCGGGCCTGCTGGGTTTCGGGGGCCGCTTCCTTCGGGGTGAGTAGACCGAGGGGGGGAGGCCTCCGGGACTGGGCAGGTCCGGGCCCACCCGCCGCCTTCATGGGGCGGTGAATGGGATTTCGGAGGGGCGCGACCTTGGGCCTGGGTTATTTAAACCTCCAGCTGCCTCCTGGCAGCTGGTGGGTCTCAGGACGGGGCGTCTCATGCCTGGATCCCGGACGGCCGCCATGGGCACATGGTGAGCCGTCCTCCCCGGGCCTGCTGGGTTTCGGGGGCCGCTTCCTTCGGGGTGAGTAGACCGAGGGGGGGAGGCCTCCGGGACTGGGCAGGTCCGGGCCCACCCGCCGCCTTCATGGGGCGGTGAATGGGATTTCGGAGGGGCGCGACCTTGGGCCTGGGTTATTTAAACCTCCAGCTGCCTCCTGGCAGCTGGTGGGTCTCAGGACGGGGCGTCTCATGCCTGGATCCCGGACGGCCGCCATGGGCACATGGTGAGCCGTCCTCCCCGGGCCTGCTGGGTTTCGGGGGCCGCTTCCTTCGGGGTGAGTAGACCGAGGGGGGGAGGCCTCCGGGACTGGGCAGGTCCGGGGCCCACCCGCCGCCTTCATGGGGCGGTGAATGGGATTTCGGAGGGGCGCGACCTTGGGCCTGGGTTATTTAAACCTCCAGCTGCCTCCTGGCAGCTGGTGGGTCTCAGGACGGGGCGTCTCATGCCTGGATCCCGGACGGCCGCCATGGGCACATGGTGAGCCGTCCTCCCCCGCCTGCTGGGTTTCGGGGGCCGCTTCCTTCGGGGTGAGTAGACCGAGGGGGGGAGGCCTCTGGGACTGGGCAGGTCCGGGGCCCACCCGCCGCCTTCATGGGGCGGTGAATGGGATTTCGGAGGGGCGCGACCTTGGGCCTGGGTTATTTAAACCTCCAGCTGCCTCCTGGCAGCTGGTGGGTCTCAGGACGGGGCGTCTCATGCCTGGATCCCGGACGGCCGCCATGGGCACATGGTGAGCCGTCCTCCCCGGGCCTGCTGGGTTTCGGGGCCGCTTCCTTCGGGGTGAGTAGACCGAGGGGGGGAGGCCTCCGGGACTGGGCAGGTCCGGGGCCCACCCGCCGCCTTCATGGGGCAGTGAATGGGATTTCGGAGGGGCGCGACCTTGGGCCTGGGTTATTTAAACCTCCAGCTGCCTCCTGGCAGCTGGTGGGTCTCAGGACGGGGCGTCTCATGCCTGGATCCCGGACGGCCGCCATGGGCACATGGTGAGCCGTCCTCCCCGGGCCTGCTGGGTTTCGGGGGCCGCTTCCTTCGGGGTGAGTAGACCGAGGGGGGAGGCCTCTGGGACTGGGCAGGTCCGGGGCCCACCCGCCGCCTTCATGGGGCGGTGAATGGGATTTCGGAGGGGCGCGACCTTGGGCCTGGGTTATTTAAACCTCCAGCTGCCTCCTGGCAGCTGGTGGGTCTCAGGACGGGGCGTCTCATGCCTGGATCCCGGACGGCCGCCATGGGCACATGGTGAGCCGTCCTCCCCGGGCCTGCTGGGTTTCGGGGGCCGCTTCCTTCGGGGTGAGTAGACCGAGGGGGGGAGGCCTCCGGGACTGGGCAGGTCCGGGGCCCACCCGCCGCCTTCATGGGGCAGTGAATGGGATTTCGGAGGGGCGCGACCTTGGGCCTGGGTTATTTAAACCTCCAGCTGCCTCCTGGCAGCTGGTGGGTCTCAGGACGGGGCGTCTCATGCCTGGATCCCGGACGGCCGCCATGGGCACATGGTGAGCCGTCCTCCCCGGGCCTGCTGGGTTTCGGGGGCCGCTTCCTTCGGGGTGAGTAGACCGAGGGGGGGAGGCCTCTGGGACTGGGCAGGTCCGGGGCCCACCCGCCGCCTTCATGGGGCGGTGAATGGGATTTCGGAGGGGCGCGACCTTGGGCCTGGGTTATTTAAACCTCCAGCTGCCTCCTGGCAGCTGGTGGGTCTCAGGACGGGGCGTCTCATGCCTGGATCCCGGACGGCCGCCATGGGCACATGGTGAGCCGTCCTCCCCGGGCCTGCTGGGTTTCGGGGGCCGCTTCCTTCGGGGTGAGTAGACCGAGGGGGGGAGGCCTCCGGGACTGGGCAGGTCCGGGCCCACCCGCCGCCTTCATGGGGCAGTGAATGGGATTTCGGAGGGGCGCGACCTTGGGCCTGGGTTATTTAAACCTCCAGCTGCCTCCTGGCAGCTGGTGGGTCTCAGGACGGGGCGTCTCATGCCTGGATCCCGGACGGCCGCCATGGGCACATGGTGAGCCGTTCCCGGGCCTGCTGGGTTCCGGGGGCTGCTTCCTTCGGGGTGAGTAGACCGAGGGGGGAGGCCTCTGGGACTGGGCAGGTCCGGGACCCACCCGCC